AGCACCCATAATATATCTTATCTAAGGTAAACTGCATTGTTTATTTGTTTGATATAAACTAAGAAAACTCGTAAAAGTTCTTAGTAAAGAGATTTATATCTTATTAGGTTAAAAACTTAATCATTATAATGCCAATAAAAAAAAATTACGTATAAGTTCATAATCCTATATGCAGCGAGGCGCATGGCATCGAGCAATGACGGATTTGCCTTCTAGATGTTGGTGAAAAAAAAGGGGTTTTGAGTATAATCATACAATTATGATTATAAAAGTCAATAGTTGTCACCTAGTGTTATGGTTACTATGAAATCTATGGTCTATGAGAGTCTGGGTAGGGGACTAGTTGTGTAAGAGCAAGATGTATCACCTCTAGTACACCCTACCTAGAATAAACTGCATTGTTATTTGATTGTTTTTCTAAGTCATGTTTATGTCCATTGGTCTTTTTTAAGTTTTAAAGTAAATCTCTTTTCGTGAGAAAGTTTTTATCGTATTGGGTTAAATCTTAAGCATTCTAAGGGTCAAAACTTATTTATTTCTTGAATATAGCTAAGTCTTAACACTACGAATAACAAAATAATTGTTATAAGTTTTTTATATATTAGTCAAACCTTAATGGATAATCATAAAATGGTTACGATATTTATTTTTTTTATTTTTTAAAACATGACTTATATTTTAGAGAATATGCATGAAAAATATTTTAAGATTTGGTCATATGTCCAAAAATAAAATACTTTTTTTAAAAGAGGAAATTGATTTAAAATTTTTATAATTTTTTTTAAAAAAATAAAAAAAATTCAGATAAAACCGGGTATTTTATATTGGATCTGTATCTTACAATGTAAATATATAGTCTGATATTGTGCAAAATTATTGAGAAAATATGCAAGAAATTCATAATATTTTGAAAGGGCTCTTAGAAATTTTTGAATTTTTTTTGTTTTTTAAAATAATTTATTATTATTATATAGTTTCGGTCCGACCCAACTATCTAGGCCCGACCTGGTGGGGTCAAGTTAAGCCTATTGTAGCCCAAAAAACCTGGACTTACTCTTTTTTCTTCTTCTTTTTTTACATTAGGTTGGGATGGATAGAAAATGTTCCAACCTAGCCATGCTAATGGCATTTTGCCATTTGTATGCAGAAAGTATTCTACATACAGATGGTTATAAAGGAGTTTCGAAGAAGAACAAAAAGAGAAAGTCTTGCCTAGTCAGAGGAGAAAAGAGAAAAGAGACTAACAATGTTATTGGTGGGGTAGGGAAGACTAAAGTGTAGTTAGTGGTGACAACAATAACGAAGACACAATGGTTATGGTGGCAAAAAAAAGGTTAGCAGAGGGGGAGAAAGAAAACTGTAGAAATACTGATTTTTTTCAACTTTGATCTTTAATTTCTTAATATTAAACGTATAGAATTCACCCCTATTTATAGAGGGTGGATAAGGGATATTATTTCTTTACTAATATCAAATCTTGGACTTTGATTCAACTCGGAAAGATCCTAACCATTGGTTCAAATTCGTTATCATAACTCGAAATAATTGGCAACTATCGACTAGTTAAGCTAGCCACTTTAGAGCAATGTTGCGGTGGCTATTAGGTCAGTAGGTCAGCGAGACCTATTCTAAGGTGGAGTACAATATCAGGCCAAAATGATTGTGTTGGTTTATCCTGTTTGGTTAAGAGATAAAGTATTAAATGCTCCTGAAAAGTAAAGGGACAATAAGCAGTGATCAAACAACATGTTGTCTAGTCTTCTTTTTTTAACAAAATAACGTTGTTTTACAGTTTTAGGGTTTTAAAATTAAGAATTTAGCCAAATTTCAATTTGGTCCTTGATTTCTAACTTTTTTTAATAACACTTATAATTAGCTTTAAACTTTCAATTTTATGTAGATTTGCCTCTATCGTATTTCAACATCACCCCCATATTTTGGCACCTTTTTTATTTTAATCCTTGATCTTGGATTTATGAAATTGACCCCTAATTAACCATTAAATTTTTAATTCTCTTTAATTTCACCTCTGATTTTAATCAATTGAGTTCTTATAGTTTTGTATCTTTTGTAAAATGATCCTTAGCTATGAATTTTTTTAATTTAGCCCTTAATTGACCTTGAACTTTTGATGTACTTATAATTTTACCCTTGATTTGAATCAATTGATTTGATAAAAATTAAATTTGGTCTCTTGAAATTTTAATTTTTTCTATTAAATACAAATTAGGCTCCCAAACTTAAATTTTTACAAATTAAGCCCCTAATTAAATTAATTTTAAGTATAATTAAGTCCTTACTCCTAATTAAATCCTTTAATTTAATCCAAATTAATTCTTGAACATAATTAAAGTTTTAATTTGACTCATGATAAAATAAAATTTACCTATTAATAACCTAATTATGTACTTGAACCTAATTTTTAAATAAATTCATCCAATAATCATTTAATCTGACCTTGAATATATGTTGTCTCTTTAGTCTTGGGTATAACAATTAAACTTCTAACTCATCAAAAATTGCAACTTGACCTTCCTCTGTATTTAAAATCCTCCTAGCTTATTTCTCTCTCCAAAACATCAGTCTTCTTATTATTATTATTTTATTTTGGAAAGAAATAAGGGTAAAATTTAAGAAAGAACCAAAAAATAAGTTGTAACGACTACCTCCCTCTTTACAATGCTTACAATATAAAGTCTTGTAAAAGATTTTAGATAGTAAGCTTTGTAAAGAAAAAAAAAAAGAGATGGAGACTCTCCAAATCAAAAAATTATCAATCTTTTTGAAAATATCAAAGAAAAAAAATAGGGTTAAATGACACACTATCTAGGATGAGGGCACAAAAACATACTCAATAAGAGATAAAAAATAGAGATAAACATAGAAAGTGTATTATGAGAAAATAAAGACTTGAAAACGTGCTAAAAAATAGAGTTAGAAGGCACACTATCTAGAAAATAAGGGTTAGAAAATACATTAAAAAAGAGACTGGGTTTGTAAATAAAAAAATAATCTTTAAATAACTAAAAGATTTTTTAGAGTAGTATAGTTGTACTCATAATTATTAAACCCGATCCCGGGTTAACACGACTATAGGTCAATCCGAAAAAAATTTAATATTTTATATAAAAAATAAAATAAAAATTTATATAAATATACGTTATACATTACGTAATTTCGAGACTTGAAAGAAAGAAAGTGTCGCACGTTACGTAAGACAACATCGTCCAGTAGCTTTTTTCCACTTGACTTGTCTGTTTAGTTCGATTAGTTGCTTTCGTTGCTATCACTCCGTTCTTACCAGGGGAGTTGTTATGTTAATTACTGCACACAAGTCTGGATTGAGGACTTATCTGTTAACCAGACTGGAAAATAGATGGCAGGATTATCCATCATGTCTGTGCCTCTGAGAATCGAGATCATGCAGAGAGAAACCATCAAGCCATCCTCTCCAACGCCCTTTGACTTAAGAAGTCTCAAGCTCTCTCTTCTGGACCAGATCATGCCAGTAGGTCACATTCCACTGCTGCTATTTTACCCCAGGAATGGAAACGACACAGATCACCTTGCCAAAGCCACGGAAAGGTCACTGCTACTAAAGACCTCACTGTCTGAAGCCTTGACTCATTTTTATCCATTCGCAGGCAGACTCAAAGACAATTCGTCCATTGAATGTGATGACCATGGGGCTGAATATATTGAGGCTCGAATCCATTGTATTCTCTCTGATATTCTCAAAAAGCCGGATACTAAAGTGCTAAAACAACTCCTGCCTGCAGATATAAGTGAAGCGGCCACGGCCAGGGATAATCAATTACTTGTCCAAGCTAGTTTCTTTGATTGTGGTGGCTTGGCAATTGGGGTGAATCTTTCTCACAAGGTTGCAGATGCAGCCACTCTAACATCATTCATCAAGTGCTGGGCTGCAACCGCCCGCAGGTCGAGTACTGAGGTGGTGATCAGTCCAGTGTTCATGGGTGCTTCTATTTTCCCACAAATGGATTTACCAATTTCAATGCTTCCAGTAGATTTGATTCAAGGAGAGTCTGTAATGAAAAGGTTTGTGTTTGAAGCTCCCAAAATTACGGCGCTCAAGGCTAAAGCCATCAGTGCAAGCGTGCCAGATCCAACACGGGTGGAATCTGTAACAGCGTTGATCTGGAAATGTGCGATGAGCGCATCAAGATCAAACTTGGGGGTTCCTAGAAAATCTGTGTTGTCTCTTGGCGTGAATATTCGGAAGAGGCTTGTGCCAACCTTACCAGACAACTACGGTGGGAACTACGTAGGTAGTATATCAGCGCGGATGGAGGATCATGATGATTTAGAATTGCAAGGTATAGTGAGCCGTATAAGGAAAGATCTTATAGAGTTTGGTGAAAATTATGCTAAAATAACCCAAGGGGACGATACTTCGTTAGCAATTTGCAAGACGGTAGCAGAGTTTGGAAAGATGGCCATGAGCAAAGATATTGACTACTATAACTGCACCAGTTGGTGTAGATTTGAACTTTATGATGCTGATTTCGGATGGGGAAAACCAACATGGTTGAGTAATGTTCTCACTATAGAGCTGAAAAATGTCATGTGTTTGATCGACACAAGGGATGGTGATGGAATAGAAGCGTGTGTAAGCTTGAGTCCAGAAGACATGGCCTTGTTCGAATCCAACAAGGAGCTGCTTGAATTTGCTTCTGCAAATCCTAGTGTATCGGTTTAGCTCAGATGGAACGAACATGTTTGTGAGGTCCGATGTGTGATGCAACGCGCTTGAATGATTGCTTCATTACTTTACATTCTTTAGCTTGCTGGTGGTGAAATTTCCTTTCTTTTTCTTTTTTCTTGTTGTGTGGTCATAAAATTTTACAGCAATGTAATAGAGTTTCTCAACAGTATCATATACCTGCTCTAATTTTACGAAATGCCACCATAGATGAGCCATTGAACAAAAATCAAGCTGTATTTTAAAAAAATCATAACAAATATGAACACTTGGGGGATAATTCACACCTTTTCTACCGGAGCACTTGAATCGGACGGGATAACTAACAAGAATATGGCACCTGGAGCAGAGCAAACACAAATCTCCAATGCCTTGCGCCTAATGACAATAAAAACTTTACATTTACGTCACCACCACATGGTGGTGCTTCTTACAAATAAATTGGAATCAACATAAAATGAATTTGCAACAGTCCATACAGCCCTTCAAACACAATACTATTAGCATACAAGCACTTGGCATCTCTCCATGTGGCTGGAGAAAGCAGTCACACAGAGTGAATGAAAGACTTCCACATTACTGTGCAATTGCACTTGGATTCCAACTTCGGAGGCTTCATATTGTCCATCTTCGGAGGGTTTCACATTATCGTGCAATTGCACTTGGATTCCAACTTAGGAGGCTTCATAATGTCCATCTCGTTCGGGAGCCCAACATTACGCACCATAGATTCTGTGGCATTCTCATCATTCTCGGTCTTGTTGGCAGAATGTTTTGGATCTACTCCTGCCCGCTTTTGCCTAACTTTTAGGGATTTTGAAGTGCGTTTTCCAGCAGGTCTCCCACGTGGATCCTTTCTGTCAGCTGTGGATTTTCCAAGAATTGTAACAGTTGGCCAAGAACCTTCTAATGGGACTGAACTTTCCTTTTCAATGGCTGTAGTTGCAGCCTGGTAGGCCAGATCATGAACAATGGAGCTACAGAAAAGTATTGTATCTGTTGCTTCTTCAAGGGTTAGGCTTCTTGCCTTGCTCCCTACCTGACAGTCTACCATAACAGTTGACTCCTCTGCCAGAAGTTAAAACATTGTTAGAGAATCAAACCAAAACATGCTACACCAATCTCAAAGTTAGCATTAGATTAAAATATGTGGCAAGCATATGGAAACTGGAAAATCATTTTGTAAACACAGGAATTGCTACTAACATTACTTTTACACACTGCAGAACTTTACTCATTATTCTAAATGGAAAATAAACCATTGAAAAAAATGTTTAAATCAGACTGTCAAAAGCAAAAAAAAATAAAAAATGGAGCCATGTTTCAGTCAATTGTGTTCAAACCTGCAAGCATGTAATCAACACAAATCATAACCCAGGATTAAACATACCTATTATGCTATCTGCATGATCTGGCATGTTGTGTTCCAAAACAGAAGCAGGTGTTTCGTTATCTGAAGGTGTTGGGACTGGATGGTCCTGAACTTCACTTAAGGTGCTCCTTGAATTTGTCGATATATCATCATTCTCTGAGCCAGTACCATGACAATTGTTCTCAACTTCTATTTCTGATATTGAAGCCAAACGACTATGGGAAGGAATCTCAGCAACATTCAATCTGTCAAGACTGGTGTTTAGCATGTTTTGTTCTGTAACAACAGAACAATCTGGAGGAAGAGCTGATGCTTCTACATCTGAGACATCCCCTGCATTGTTCGGCAAATCTTCTCCATTTTCATATAACGAAAAGTTGCCATGATTTGATGGTGCTGAATTCTCCTCCAACTGAATCCCAACTGTATGACTTGGCAAATCTGAGGAAGATACATCAGTTTTTCTATTACTGTCCTTTTGCTCAAACAAATCTTCTTCAGGAACTGCTGCATCAGTAGAAAACATACAAGAAGCATCCATTTCTTTATTTTCTGAAGCCAGCAATATCCTTTGAAAAGCTAAAGGTGTTTCCACCAAACCATCATATTTTATATTGCCAACAGAAACCTCGACATTTTCTTCATGCGTGTTTGTTGCAAGACCTAGAGTTTGGTGACCATCATTTAAAGTTCCAGAAAAAGATGATGCAGTGCTTTGAGGTCTTGAGCTTAGGTCATATCTGTAGTTCTCCATGTCTGATTTCCTGCCACTTAACTGCCGTTGAACACGTGTTTCAACTTGTCTGCTGGTGCTGAAATCAACGGAGGATGATGCTGATGTACTACCATGCCCAATGGAACTTCTAAAACTGTTTGCACTGTCTCTTGCACACGACAAATCATCATAAGTAATGGTTGAGGCAATTAAAGTCCTGCCTTGAACAACAGGCCCTTTGCTACTGCTAGACCTTTTGAGCAATACAGAAATCCCAGCACCTTCTGAAACACCAGCCTTCAAACTTGGATAGTTATTTGAACGAGGCAATTGCTGATCTCCAGCATCTCCGCTAGGAAGGCTATAACCAGGAAGTGGCTGTCCTGTTTCATGATGGCCAGCAGTGCTATGTTCACTTCCTTCCAACAAAGACCTCGTGAGTGAACTTTCTCGGCAATAAATATGGTTTTGCTCATGGTATGAAGTCTCGCCTTGCTTAATAGTATTATGTTCACTTCCTTCCATCAAAGACCTCGTGAGAGAACTTTCTCGGGAATAAATACGGTTTTGGTCATGGTATGAAGTCTCGTCTTGCTTAACTCTGTCTTCAGGCAGGGAAACCCTTGCATCAACCATTTCAACAAATTGTGATTCCATATCATTAACTTGTGGCTGTAATTCAGGTACAGCCATCAGGATATTTAGCTCATCGGATGGCTGGTGTTCCTCAGAAATATTAAGAGACAGCACTGGGATGCTGTCAATGGCTACTATTTCTGTGTCTGGAGTGGCAGCGCCTACAAGATTGTCGCAATCAGGACAAAGATTGACATCCTTTTCCAGAGTCTCAATAAAGCTATACCTGCAACCACATTTAGAACAAACTCTTGTTTTTTCTAGACTGTCAACTTCTGACAAATCAGCCTTGAAACATAAAGTGTCAGAAGCAGAGCTGATTTCCACATGATGGTGCCTGCCCTCCTCATAACCACCAGGTTCGTATTCAATTGAGGGGTCTCTTTCCAAGTCATGCAGCTGAAAGTGAAGGCCATTGTCTGTATCATGCCCGGCATCTTTATTTAATGCATCCGCCTTATCAAAGGCAAAAACCCCTTCCTGAGCATCAGGATACAGTACCTTACCACTTTCAGTTGCCATATCTTCCTGGTGGTGGTCACCTCCCTCGGTATCAGGAGCAATGCTGGTACCTTGATCAGAACTCGCATTACTGCTGGTTGTTACAGAAGAGTTCCTCGACATCAAAGGGCGATGTGCAGAACTTGCTTTTCCACCATAGAAGGTGGTGCTGGGGACACTGGATAGAAGTGGTCTGAACATGTTCTGAGGACTTTTCCGATGATCCTACACAAAAATATTTATCAAACAAGTGATCTGCACACCAAGACTTCTGAAAAACTATGAATACACTATAGAGGAAAGTAAATGCAAGAATTCCTCGTTTTTCACAGAATAAATATAAACTACTTAGGGTTTCATGGACAGTTCCATAAATAAACTTTTTTTTTTCAAACCGGACACTTTAGACCTGCATTATTCCAGAAATGATGTGACAGCATGACCACAACAAAAAAGTTTAACTAATTGCATGATTTTAATCAATAAACAAATATCAAACTGGAAAATGCATAATTGAAGCACATACGCTCAGAGCATACAAACAAAAAAATGCATGCCATTTTATCGAAACGGAAAAGATCAACCAACTGAAAAGCATTTATTTCAGAGCTGCAAGGAAGCTAAACACTAAAAAAATGTGTTAATGTATTTAAAGTTCAAATTAAGTAAAAAAGATATAATATTCTTGTTATAATGGCTGTGGTTACCAAAGAAATACAAGTGAAGAAATTTTTTGCCAAACTATCAAAGTAAAAAAGGACATGATAACAATTCACGATGCCTTTCCCTTCTGATACAATTTCATTGTCACAGTTGAGCATATATATTTTTTATTTCTTTGGGTAAGTTTATAGAAGATCCATTTTATTCAACATCCATTTCACCTTTTCTTTTGTTTTATGGACGGGGGAGGATGCAGGTGGAAGGGTGATCTACTGTAGGATTGGTTTGGCTAAAACCCCATAAGTTTTTAGGAATTATGATGACTTCCCACACAATTGCAGGCATTAGAAATGAATTAGTTATTGATGGTAGGGTTGAGTACTAAAAACGATCTTAAAGTTTTAAGTTCTTGAGGTAGGTCGGAGAATGGTGTTCATGACAATTTTGGCTATGTTTATATATCTGTGGAAGCTTTTGATTTTAGTATCAGGACAATAAATAAAAGGACTTATGGTGGTGATAAAAGTTATCAAAATTGTCAATAAACTAATTTGTACATGGAAGCTCACCTTAATATCTGAAGTATGACAGGGATCTGTGTAAAGCCTAACTCTAGAAAGTGACTATTGTAGGGATACTAGCAAAACTTTATCACAGTAAATATTTAACAGAGAAGAGAGTGGTTAAGTGCAGTAGACACTGCCATACCATTTGACGAAGAGCACTGTCAAAGGATTTTTTTGGAGCAGAACTTGGGGAAAATACTCTAGTTGAGTTCTTTGAAAACGCAGGAGCTCTATTATTAGGAAAGCCACCAGTTCTCTTCGAAGCTAAGTGGTCTAAGCTACCCACATAAGTGGATTGTAGAGAGTCCACATCATCATCACCAGATGATGCCACGGAACCTTTGCTGTGTGAGCTAATTCGGTCTCTATCATGACTCTGTGATGAACTGACACTTCTAGAGGCTGGAGACATTGATTGCCTGCCAAATTTTGAGCTCGAGTCCCTACTATTTCTGGATGCTGGAGAGGAACCCCTTACATATGATGCTGGCCGATCTGCCAGAGAAGTGCGAAGATTTGGTGGTGCTTCAGAGGAGAAACCAGGAATATTTGACTGCCATGCCCTTATTTTTGGTGAGGCAGAGTTCCCTCTACCTGTCCTTATGGGGGAAGTTCCCCTTGCCCCCGATCCTGTGCTCATCCTCCTTGGAGTTGGAGTAGAAGACCGTGGAGCAGCTGTTGAGGCTTTACTCGGAGGAGGAGATGGTCTACGTGACGGAGTGGAAGCCCTTTGACTAGGAGTTGGACTAGAATAAGATGCCGACGATGGCCTTCCTCTCGACTGAAATGTACTATTACCAGAACGTGGGGAAGGGCTTAAGCGATTTGGACTTGCACTGCCCCTACTGCTCCTGTGACTCTTCTCCATCTACACATGGATGCACATATCTCAATTACAGGAAATTATGGATATAATTTTATTCTTTATCCTAAACCTTTGGGCAATAAATTGTATTCCATAAAAGCAGTCAACGACTTACCGTTGAAGATCTCGATATGGAAATGGGTTGACTACGAGGTCTGCCCCTGGATGCAACATTAACTGGTGGGGGTTCATCATCCAAAGAAGGAAAAAGCGGGGTCTCAGGAGGAGTTAATAACCTACAAAATTATTAAGACCAAGCAATTCATCAAAACCAAGAGCAGCTAAGAACTCTCCTACCAGCTTAAAAGCAAGATGCAAAATAAAAAATGTGATATTAATTATTATAAAATGATCAATTTCAGCTTGTCTTTGTGAATTAATCAACCAACTGGTGGCGCTATTAGCTTGACATTTAGAAACTTGACTTGTTAAACATGGTAAATTTAGCTTGTATACCTCAAAACTTGATTTTTTTAACTATGATAAATTGGACACGCTAGAACAAGTAGACTGTGGCCTAAAAACAAGTTTCTCCTCGTCAAAAAATTAAATATTGTGTTCACTAGAGAAACAAAAATTAACAAGGTGTCGTAAAATGTTTCCAAATAGGAAACCATAACCCACCAGTCATAGTCATTCTTCTCCCCATCTACATTAAGAAGTTCACTATTCTCTCCTCGAACAGGGATGGAAACTCCAAGTTTTAAGTCCGAAAAGTATCTCAACTTTGTGGCTGCATAAAACAATTTAATTCATCAACGGAGCATGCAACACCATTAGCCAGAAGAAACATAGAAATATTTATATTCAGGAAAGGATAGATAATGCAATAAATAAACCAAATGAAAGAATGGAGCTTGCATGGACAATTACAGAATGAGTCTTCAAAGTCATCAGCTGACTGAAGCAAGAAATTCTCTCTTTCTCTAGACTGCATTTCATTGAACAGAGCAAGATCCTCATCTTTCTCTTTGAAGAGCAATCCACCTTCAAGGCTACGCCCTCGCTTATGATTTTCTGCTCTTGGCTCTCTCCCAGGAGAATATCTCAAAGCCGGAGAAGGCGGCATCTCCTCCACTATGATTAAACTTCCAAACTAATCACTTCAACCTCTCCTCGGCACTAAAACCAAGATAACCGTTTTTCCAACCAAATTTCCCATAAACCGGTATCCAACGACAAAACCAAACTAATAAATTAACCAAAACACCTTTTCTTCCGAAAAATGAAGCTTCAATTCTAGTTTAACTGAATTAAATTAAGACCACTTCTAGCAACCCGAAGCAAAGCCAACCAATTCCCACGCATGCAATTTAACCCCAAATCTTCAAAGACAAACCTACAGCACAGCGTATACCATCACATTAATTGAAGCAAATGCAGCATTAAAAATGAAGTAGCTCAACAACCCTATGAAAATAACAAGCAAGCAGAATCCTTCATCTCGCAATACAATATCAAAACCCTAGATTCCTTTCCATCATGATCCCAGCACACTGATACTACACTCCATCGCGCTCAAAACCCCCCAATTCACCTCAAACTCAACTTCTAACCACCTCTCACCGAATTGAAAAAAGATTAAAAACTCACCGTTTGAAAGCAGCAAAGAGGAGTGGCCAACTCAGCAAGTAGCAACAGCAACAGCAGCAGAGCAACTTCACTTACCAGAAACCAAAATATATATATATGTTCAAGTAAAAAATTCTTCAACGAAGATCTCAAATTCCAAGATTAAATGACAAATTACACCCCCAGGAACGCTTTCTTTTCTAGATCTAAACGCATTTAATGCTCCAAGTTATTCACTGCCAGATCGCGGATCGATCAGCTTCGTTGTTTCCAGCATTCTTCTCTCTCCTCCGAGAAATTAAAACAAAAACCAAAAAAAACCTCTTCTTTTTTAGTTGTTACGGAGCTGCTTTGATTTGCTTGTTCCTTCTTCTTTCCTTCTCATCAACACCAAACTTCCATTTTCTATTCTCTTTCTCTCTCAGTCGTTTCACTTTCTCGCTGCTCTGCGATGGATATTTTCTCTCTTCTTTTTTTCCCTTTTCTAGTTATTGCTCTGGTTATTATTTTCTTTATTTATCTTGATTGCAATTATTTTTCCTTAAGACAGTATAATACGAGAATTCTTTTTTCTTAACATACGATGTGTTAATTTTAAATTTTTAAGTATGAAATACGATCCTCGTGGTCACGTGCTTTGATAGGCTTTTTAAGTCCTTCAGTCTTACGTATTCCTGTTACATACATACATATATATATATATACATACATACATATATATATATATATATATATTTATTAGTTAGAGAATTTTCGTATCTGCTTGCCTTTTATTGCAGGAGTATTGTTGTACTTGCAAGCTAATTAACCTGTTCTTTTTTGGGACCAGGAAAATTACTTTCTAACAACATTAATGTGTGATCCCAACATCTGACAATTGAAACTATTAAATGGGACAGATATTCAGTACATATTTTGGGATGTGGTTGAAATATTTTTTTATTAAATTTTAATTTTTTTAAATTGTTTTAATATACTAATGTTAAAAATAAATTTAAAAAAAATAAAAAAACTCTTAATTACTGTATTAAATTGGCATTATTTGGATAAGTTAGAGCCTGGTTCACAGAATTAATGTTCAATTTTTTGGAAAATTCACTTTTGGAATTTAAATTTATGAAGTGGCCTCAACTTCGATCCACTTGTCTTTGTAATGTTTTTCACTTTATGGCTGTAATAGTTGCAAAATATAATATATTAATTGTTATTTAATTGATCAGTGATAATTTTTAATTTTTAATTTATATAAGATGGTATTTTAATTTTGATATTTTGAATCTATTTTGTGATTAGATTGTGATTTGCTATCATACTATGTTTTGAAACTCTTTTTTGGAGGAATTATGGTATTTTTTTTATTATAACCGACTAGAAAAGGATTTATATTTCCTTTCAAATGATATTAAACCATATATATATGAGAGAGAGATTTTTATTTAACTATAAAGATTAAAAATGTTGAAATTTGAAAATCATCTATCGTGATCTTGTCATTTGCACAAGTGTTCATGTGTCAGGTAGTTTGCAGTGTAATAAATAATAAATAATAACTACGAATACATGGCATTACAGCAATCAAGCTTGGGCAGCGGGTGGTGGAGAAAACCTAAAATGCCTGGACAATAATGAAAACAATTCTTTATCAATTTTAATTTTGAAGGCAGTGTTTAAAAATATTCATTAATTTTCTCGAATATAATAATAGATCAATACGCGAGATATTTCCATGAATTCGCTGGAAGTGATAACTTACCTACTTAAAAATATTCTTTATCGTAGATTCCATAATATAATTTTAAAATAAGAGGACTAGCAGTCGCACTCCCCGCTCGATCCGCGAGGGTCTAAACTCTCGCTCCATGCCAGGCCATATAACAACTTTTTATCCAGGGAGGTAGCGCTAAGCATCTACTTGCTCGATTTTGATGTAGAAATTGAGTTTTAGAAAATTTTAATTAATTTTTTAAATTAATTTTTTTATTATTTTGATATATGGGTATTAGAAATAAAATTTAAAAAATAAAAAAATATTTATTTTATATATTTTGGGATAAAATAAGAAGAAGAAGCAGAAGCAATCACCGTATCATGATTAGGTGGTACTGTTCGATTGAGATTTATTAAATTGCTGCTGTTGTGATTGTTAATCCATCAATTTGGATGAAGATCATGCTTGGTTTGAAGTCAACATCAGACTTCTAGGCCCATGATAAGCTCATTTTTCGTTCTTTCTGTGAGTTGACCCGTCAGCTAACACCATGATTTCATGGATTTATAACCGGGAAAGTCAAACAATAATTCTTAAGAGGCAACGTAAAATACAAAAAAAAAAAAAAAGAAGGGCAGTTTGTGAAGGGCTACGTTTGGACCTAAAAATCATTTAACTAGAAGCTACAAAAAGGTCGAGACACTGGCAGTACAACCCAGACCGCAGTTTTAACTTTTGACACCTTTTTTTCAGGGGTTGCTTTTGCATTATTTTAAACTCGAGGGTGGCCCGAAGTCAACAGGTCCTGGATTCGAGCTGTGAAGATAAACTCGGATCGATTCCAAAAATGTATATTTTACAAGAAAAAAAAGAGTTGAAACTGTTTGTTTTGGAGTAAAAAAATCAAATAAAGTTTTACTCCTTTGACGAGATTAACTCTCTATCTAGTTTAAAATTATATTTGTTGCTCGCGTTTCATTGTATACTGTATTAATTTTTTATATATATAAATAAAATATTAGCATAAAAACATAAAAAAATAATATAAGTATAATTAAATTATAAAATAGAGGAATAACATAATAGAAAGTAAATCGCAAAGTCATAAAAAACATTCAGTTTAAACAAAAATATAGAAATTTAAATGAGTCTCTTAAACTTTATTAATATTTAAAATTTACAACTCGTTAAATTATGAACTTTTATTCAATAAAAAAAAGTTAAATTTTAAATCAATTTAATTTTAAAATATATAATTATTAATAAATATTAATAAAAAAACTTATAAACACCAAAAAAATAAAAAAAAATAAGGATTAAATTTTAGATAAAAAATCCAAAGAGAGTGAAATTTGAAAAATAAAAATGATCTCATACAACATGAATAGAAATTAAAAGAATGTATACCAAATTAAAAAAAACAATTATATAAGATAAAATTAAAAAATATTTTAATTTAGTAGATTATTTATAGATTAAAAAATTACTCAGAGTTAGCTTAATACAATAAAAAAAAACTAGATAAATGACAAAAAGATATGAAAACATTAGTTTAAAAAATGAAAAAAAAAATAAGCAAACCTGAACGAAACTTTAAGCATGGTCTAATTTTTAAAATTTACAACCAATGAAATCCTTAACCCGGGTTATCAAGAAGCTCAATTATCAATAAATTTAATTTTGAATATTAAATTTATGAAAAAAAATAAATCATAAAAGAACAAAACAATAAAAGAAATAAAAATAAAAACAAGAAAATATCATCTTAAAAAACAATATCCAACTAATCTCATAGACCTTGTCTAATATCTAAAAATTACAACTTATAAAATTTTGAAGGCTAATTATCAATCAATTTAATTTTGAAGGATGAGATTAATGAAAAATTATTATTAAAAAAACAAATAAGAAAACTGGGATAAAATTTTATAAAAACAATACAAGGATAACGAAACTCGAAAAAATAAATAAAAATGAACATAAGTAAAATAAATAGTAATTAGAGTAATAAGAATTAAATTTGAAAGATAAAAAACAACAACACATGTGAATTTGAAAAAAAATTGTAATTTCATAGATAATTAAATGATTAAAAAATAAAAAAAAATGAAATAAAAAAATAATGATGGGCAAATCACCAATATATATATAATCACTTTGAAAAAGAAAAAAACAAAATCAGACAAACAGGTGGATGCAAAACTTTTTATATAAAAAAATTATATTTAATAATACAGTAAATAACGTCCAAATCTATAACACAACAGGGTAAAATGACTACAAAACTATGTATATTGATTTTGTTTTTAAAAATTTGAAAGTAATTGCATTATTCTTAAAAATAAAAAGATAAAAACTCCTCAAGTCAAAATCTCTGGAATTATTCATTTCAAGGCTAGATTTGTAATTGCACTGTGCATTAATAATGTGACAATTACAACCCCATGTTATTATATCAAACACGTTATACCTTGGTGAAAAGACAATATAACCTCTAAAACTTATTTCATTGCCTTTTCTTTTCAAAGACAAAATAATAATTATACTATCATAATAAATAAATAAAATATGTCTCGGGTTACTGTAACTTTATTAGCGGACTTAGTTTTTTCCTAACAAAACCTAGCCAGCTCGGATACCATGTCGGTAAATGATCTAGTTGGACCGATTCGGGGTTTGATAATAGCTGCTCCGCGAGAAATAACGCCAAGAGATACAAATGACGGTCAGTTTACTTATGCAGGGCTCGTCAAAAACACGTGACGCTGTTTTTACTTATGCGAGGCTCGTCGAAAACACGTGACGCTGTTTTTAACAATTGAGGAGGTGGTAAAAGGGGCTGGACAAGAGCCAAGCGACCAAGCAGGCAATTTAAAAAAATTTAAAAATTATTTTTAATATTAATATATCAAAATAATTTAAAATTAAAAAAATTAAATTAAAGCTCAAAAAATAAATAAAATTTATTTTTTAAAAAATATTTTTAAGATATAAAAACAAACAAGCTCCCAATCATAACATCTCTCTTATAAATCTCCCAACCTCTTGAAGACTCTTGCAGTCTCCCTTTCTTTCTTTCTTTTTTTTTAAAAAAAAATCTTACAAATTATTACAAAATATTATCAATTTTTTAAGATCCTGCGAAGTCTGCCTTTTTCAGAGTTTCATTGCTCGGTCTGAACTTGGCTTAGGCTAGGCTTAACATTGTGGTTAAATTATTTTTATTGTTTTAATATGTTAACATCAAAAATAATTTTTTTAAAATAAAAAATATATTATTTTAATATTTTCTTAAGAAAAAAAATATTATAAGGATTCTACTACATTCCTAAACATACCCTTATTCAATATTTTTTAATCTGGGATATAAATATATATTTATTTTACCTGGTTTCTTTTGTTATTTCAGATTTTTTTTTATGAATTTAAAATCAGTATGTAAAATAAAATAAAATAAGAAAGTCTAGAGATTAGTTTCTGCTTTTCCTTTTTATGTTTTTAATTTTGGTGAGAAATTTCCACGCATAATGTTTATCTGAGATATAAATATTTATTGACCAGTTGACAACATAGAGCCCTTTTCCCTGTGATTTCACGAGGTCGACAAGGGGTGCATCCTTCAGAAAAAATAAATAAATAAACATTTCCTTTTAAATAGATAATTACAAATGGATTTCGATTCTGTTTTGAAATTTAAACAGGATTTATATTTTTAACCTTCACGTTTAAAATTAATCCACTTATATATATATATATATGTATGTATGTATGTATTTATTTATTTATTCACGTCGAAAATCATGATTGCAAAAAATTTATCGATTGGGGCACTGCACAGGACATATGGGTTTCGCAAACATGCACGTAAACTTGTCATGCAGAAATAGCTTGAAATGGTCACGGGCTATTCAAGATAGCTTGCAGAGTGATACTTTTGGTATAAATAAGAACTACATATAAAATCATGGTGCTAAATCTCACTACAAAAAATATCAGAGATAATTAAAAAAAAAACTCATATAATTTGATATTGGTTAATTTTTTCTCTGTATTTTTATAAATTAATTATACTTTTCATCCCATAATTTTTCAATAATGGTTTATATTTTCATAATGTATTTTATTTGATTTTTTTACTTTATCCAAAATATAAAATGTAATCTATAACGGTATATATAAAAAATAAAATTATATTTTTTTTATAATTTTTCAAAAAATATTATTCTTAGTGTTTTTTTTTAAATCGTGATCATTGTAATTAACTTTTGATCAATGTTATTGAATACCTAAATAAGAAAGTTTAATGAGAGTGATCTTGCCATTTAAGCATGTTGGGAGAGCACAGATTAATTAGAACCTGTGAGTTTTGTTTTATTTTGACTTGATTTTAAATTCTTAAACTGACTGGAGAATATTTGGGTGTTGAAAATATATTTATTTATGTTTTAATGTTTTTTATTCAATAAAAACAAGTTAAAAAATAAGTTTTATAGGTTAATAAACTCCAAGTAGTGAATGGATGGTTTTTTATTATTTTTTCTTGAACTTTCATTAACTGTCCTTTAGAAACTTAAATCTTAATTTTACATTACTTTAAAAATATTATTTTAATTTATTTTCAAACTTTGTTTTAAAAAAATTTAGATAAAAAAATATTTGCAAGTGGCAATTAAATTAGCCTTTAAGATAAATAAAACAAATTATAAAAAAAATCGAGGTAAAACATGGTACGTGACTAACTCCCAGTTCTTATAAAAGATAAGCTTTCTGTTTCATTATTTATTATTTTATATACTGTATTAAAAATATATTTATTTTATTTTTAATAAAAAAATTCATAATATCGTAGAACGTCCTCATAACACCAACACTTTATTATTTTGTGGGCTAGAGACTAACTTGGGACTATATTTCACACACACGGTTGTGCCGTGCCAGCCCATGTACTGTACGAGCTTAGCCCAACCTGACGTGTCGTACACCTCCTCAAGAAATAAAAGGAAAACGATGCCGTCTAGGCGTCGTTCATACCAAGGCAAAGTGGGTGGGAATTAGTTTGCGCGGTTGAACCAAACTTTCCCGTCCATCAATTGTCCAAAAAGATCTCGAAGTATTCGCAATTTACCACCTTGCCATCTCAAGCCAATGCCAGCTCAGTTCACCAATGGCAACCCAGACTGCAATGACTGGCATCCTGGGAATCAATGAACAAATGATGCCTAACGGTTGAACTATGGTTGATTTTTAAAATATTATTCGATTAAAAATATATTAAAATAAAATATATTTTTTAATTTATTTTAGATACTAATATATTAAAATAATTTAAAATTATAAAAAAATTTAAAACAAAAAAATTTATTTAAAAATTTTCAAAAATATTATTTTTAAGCTCAAGCAATTCTTTTTTTTTTTTAATTTTTTAATTTATTTTTTTGTGTTTTAATACCTTTTATAAATGAATATAAAAATAAAAATATTATTTTAATATATATTTTTAAACGAAAAGTAATAACAGTACCAAAATCTACGTGGAGTGTATCGCCGCTAATAACAGTTCCGGAGCTAACAAAGCGAAGCACCAGCTACATACAACCTATCAATTTTCTTTTCCTATAAAAAGCAAAGCAAATCGTCGTGGTTTCTCTGGCTCTCCTCTTCCCTTCCACTTCCTCCTCCTCCTCCTCGTCTATTCTAAGGAGACACTTTGTACCTCTCATGGCTGCTGCAGCTTCTCTCGCCGGATCCAATGTCGTCGCCTACAGATCCCCCGCTCCTTTCCCCACCTCCGCTGATACAAAAATCGCTCACCTTCGCCCTTTCTCTCCAGTTTCCGCTGGAGTCGGACCTGGCATTTCTCTCCAGTGTAGATCGAGGAGCTCATTTGCTTCTTCTGGTATCTATTTTAATTTCTAATTAGAGTGATCATCTACTTACATCGGGGATTATTCATCAGTGATTGATTGATTGGCGCACGCGCAGGTGTAAGAGCTCAGGTTGCGACTTCTGAAAAAGCGAGCGCACAGGCGGCACAGAAGGTGGAATCGCCGGTAGTGGTAGTGACTGGAGCCTCTAGAGGTATTGGCAAAGCAATTGCTCTGTCTTTGGGAAAAGCAGGTTGCAAGGTTAGTAGAATTCCACTATCTAACTCGTAGATTATTATTATTATTATTATTTAATTTCTGGAAAATGGTGAATTAGAGATATTTTCTTTTTCTGATATTGCAGGTCTTGGTTAATTATGCTAGGTCTTCAAAGGAAGCCGAGGAGGTTTCCAAAGAGGTAGGTGAATCCCTGATTTTTATAATTTTAATACCAAGGTGAAGCTTTGCATTTTTTTGTCTCACGGTTCAAGGTTTTAGTGGCTAGCTGACCATTAATAATTTTCTGGCCATTACCGAAATGCTGGTTTGATTAGCACGAGACGGTCCAATTGAAAGAAGTAGAAGGAGCCGATCAATTATTTTCCACCAAGTGTTAAAATGACTTACTTTCAAGGGCTCAAGATGTGAATTAGCTCCTTTGTAGCCAGATGCGGTCGGGAAATAATAAAGTCGCCGCTTTATTTCTTTTGCCGCGCTGCCCAATGTTTACCCTTTTGTTTTCTGGCCTCTTCTCGATGACCTTTTTGAAATGGAAGTAAATAATGACTAAAATGGAAATTGGTAGAGATGGTGATGTTTGGTTTAACAGCTTCATCAGGTTTCATTCAAAATATTTTTTCTCAAACCTGGAAATTTCAGTTTGCTTGCTGCATATGTGGTTGTTTCTTCTGTTTACTGGAAATGGAATTGTTAGTAATTCACAGTGCATGATTAAAACGACCGTTGGGTTTATTTGATAATTTTGTAGATTGAGGCTTATGGTGGCCAGGCCCTCACTTTTGGGGGTGATGTTTCAAAAGAGGCTGATGTGGAATCAATGATGAAAACTGTGAGTGGATGTTCCTTCTGTTGGTTGAATTTAAGTGCAAACAATATTTATGCTTCTGCTAATGATTTGTCACATTTGTAGGCTGTTGATGCATGGGGAACCGTTGATATACTGATAAATAATGCAGGTTAGTAATAACTCCTATCTTTCCTCATCACTTTCTGTTTTCCTTTTAGAGCTCATAATGCATATATCTTGATTTCAGGAATTACACGGGATACATTGCTGATGAGAATGAAGAAATCTCAGTGGCAGGATGTTATTGATCTGAATCTCACTGGTGTATTCCTTTGCACACAGGTGTGTGCATCGAGATCCAATAATTTGATCTATCTGACATCTACTTATGATTATCTTAATCAAACTAAGATAGTGTGCTCTGTGCAGGCAGCAGCCAAAATTATGATGAAAAAGAGAAAGGTAAGATCCCTTGCCCATCCTCAAGTCATTGGCCTTCCTTGTTCTTGGCTAATTAGGCCAGTGATAGATTTGTGCCTTTAAAACCCCAATTTGATACAGTTTTGAGCCCCTTGCAAGTTTAAATTTCTTTCTTTCATCATGCACTTCTCTTATACATAATCTTCTTTAACAGTGTCAGATTGTTGTTAAGAAGTTATCACAGTCTGAAAACTATTTCTTTATATTGAAACCTGTACTGACAGCCTGGAATCATATCTCGAAGTTAAAATAACTTTGAGACTTGTCACTATGAGTGTTTCCAATGGGTGTACACTGACTTGTCCAAGACTGAGGATACTTTCAGCTGATTCACCTTTTTTGTTGCTAATACCTCTGTATCTATAATTTGCAGAAATTAAATGATAAACAGAATGTGAGCATAATATAAGCTCTATTAAGTGAAATTTTTAATTTGTGCAGGGAAGGATTATTAACATAGCATCAGTTGTTGGTTTGGTTGGCAATGTCGGGCAAGCCAACTATAGTGCTGCAAAGGCAGGAGTTATTGGCCTGACAAAGACTGTTGCAAAGGAATATGCAAGCAGAAACATTAATGTGAGTTTTCAGGAGTTTTATCTTTTGTTACAATTGTTCTGCACTTTTTAAGTTTTTGCATGGAATCAGATCTAATTAAAGACTATTTTCCAGGTAAATGCTGTGGCCCCAGGATTCATTGCATCTGATATGACTGCCAAGCTTGGAGATGATATTGAAAAGAAAATCTTGGAAACGATCCCTTTGGGTGAGTATATATTTTTTTTTCCAAATTTTTTAATTTTTTTTTCAAATTTCACATTGCAGTTGGCCTTTTAAGTTTCTGCTGAGAAGTTTCCGAGGCAACAAATTTTTCAAAGGGTTTGAGAAGTATTCATGCGAAACTCATCTGAAAGCCCTCATCTCTTTTTTGCTTTTGGAAATGTGCTAATATTGCTAGTTTGCATAGTTCATCAAATCTTTGTTTGTTTGTAGTAGTATATGTGAATATTTCTCTAGCTCTATGCTTCTATTGAATGACGAGTCCTTGTCAGTTTGATCTCCATATTTAACTGATACAGTCATCTGAATTTGAACAAGTTGAAATTTTTTTCACAAGCTTCTCATAGAATTATGTTCAGATGATGGTCATAACAGTTGATATTTGTTCAGGACGTTATGGCCAACCAGAAGAGGTTGCAGGACTAGTGGAATTCCTGGCTCTTAATCCCGCCTCCAGTTACATCACTGGACAGGTTCTAAATCTATTCTATTTTGATTTTCCATGTTTTGTAAGTTTTAACTGGTGAAATTATAGCCCAAACCTGCTCTTCTAAATTATTTTCTTTTGGTTGCTTCTTGTCATGGCATGGCTTGCCGAGGCACTGTTTTGATTCTCCGTTTGCTTGGTCCAATTCAACTCCTTGCATGCTTTAAATTTGCTTGCAAGCTTCATTACCTTGGCTATACCTTAAGGAGCCATAACCTTGTGATGTAATCCATAGGCTGAACAGATTTAGCTAATAAGTCTCACAGGGAGACAAATTCTAGTGGTTTGATCAATTAGTGCCTTGGTTTACCAGATCCATTGCATAACATGCATTGCCTTTGCTTTACATTGCCACCTAATTGCTATGCTCTGCCATGGCGGAGAACTGCATGTAATGAGGTCCATTGGCTAAAGCCAAGTGTTAAATGGAGCCCCTTGGCACGGTTCCTCTGGCATCCCAGCTAATGAATGCTGAACCCAGCTGCCATTCCATTTTCGTGGTTTTAAGTTAGATTATTGTTTTGCAGGTGTTCACTATTGATGGAGGAATGGTAATGTAAGTGACGTGCCATGTCTGGTTAAACCCCGAGATTCAAAGTTCATGCTGGTGCTCTTCGAACTGCATGTCAAGTCAGGGTTTTGGCCAGCTTGGGCAAGACAGTTTTTAGCATAACATAACGTATAATAAATGACCACCCAGGACAAGTTTTGATAGAAGCATTTCTGAAACGGTAGAAGAGAGATGCGGCTGTTTTTCTAGGCTTTGGTTGGCATATGGAAAAGTAATTGATTGCTGTGTGGTATTAGTAAGAAAATGGTGTTCATGTAAAAATCGCTTCTTATCAGGACGAGCTTCTCCATGATTCTTTTCTATTTCAGAGAAAATGAAAGTATCTTTGATGTCGTTCTGTTTTGTAATGGGCGGGCTATAATCTGGAAGGAAAAAGAAAAAAGCCTCCTTCACCTCCTTAGATTGAAAGAATTCGGAACCATTTTTTGGAGCAGTAAGAGATTTCTGAAGCTTGTTTCAATCCATTCATAGGTGTATCAATCTCTGTCCTTAATGTAATAACATGAGCCTTGAAAAGCATCAATCTTGTGTTAATTTCCTGCAGTCAGGTGAAATGCATATTCCACTTCTCTGTTTCCCAACCCTGCTCATACTCTTTCTTTTGTTTCTCTCTACGTATTTTTTAGCTTATTTTGTTATTCTTCGAAACTGGGAACCAAAACAGCGAAAAGAAGCTTCGAGCTGCTTCACGTCTCTTGCTCGTCATGTCAGTCCTGCGGTTATTATGGCTGTCCGTGCAGTACTGCTACACAGCCAAACCTCACTTACCTTTGCCTCTCCGCTTTCGAAACACAATGCTTGAGCTCAGCATGGCTTTAGTTCTTGGTGGACCTCCTTCACTACATGGTATTCTACCTTAATGACACTCTCTTCATACTTCACCATGTAGCAACACTGTGTTTGTCGCTTGTTAAATGGAGCACACGGACTTCCTCTGCTTCTCACATTGCCCAATTTACTAGTGCTTGTCTGAATGTTCCTGCAAGCTTGTGAGAATTTTTGGCAAGGACAGAACATTTGTTTGTTTGTTCATTCATTCAATGAAATGATTTTGTTTTACAGAGATGAAGCAGTTATTACTTCTTTGATCTATATCTTGGACAAAATTATACTTGAAAACTGAACTCTTATTTTAAATGACTTTGCAGTAGTTTCTTCTGTAAGAGCAAATTGATAACTGCATAGAACATTGAAAGGAAGTGAGTGAATACAACATTGTGTCTAATACCAAATCACTTGTACAGCTGATATACTGTTCGATTGTTACGAGATAGCAAGTCGATTACGGGGGTCATCACTGGCACTAATGCAGCATCAGGAGGACGGGAAGTCTGAAATCCTCCCAAATCACTCAACCTATGCATTTAGTTTAACTTCTATTACAATGTTGATCCAACAAATTTTAACTTAGCTGTGTTAGACCTTCAATTCTGATATTGTGCACCAGCTGCTGAGCCATTTGGAGGAACATTCAAGTTTGGTACATTACTTAAAAGAGCTTGCGTCGAAGATTTATATGCCTATAATTGAAGCATTCATCTTGTCAGGACTTCCTTGGTAGTTAAGCTCTACAAAAGTGCCACCTCCCTCTCCCTTTGCCAGTCTTCCTGGGTTTATGCAAATGCACTTCCTTTGCTCTTCCCCTTCACCAAGGGTCAACACCTGTGCCAGAGAGCAAACACTTGAAGGGTTTGAAGAAGTTGAACCCATCATCCTTCACTAGTGGGCTACGTTTTGAGCCTACCAGCACATCTTTTTTTCTATTTTCTATTTTTTTTTTTTTTTGAAATCGGGACTGGAACCAAAAAGATTCAGGTACTTGGTGCTATGTTTACCTTTATAAAGTACTTCATATCTGAAGGCAGGATGAGAATATCTGGAATCGAGGTAATCTGAAGAGCTTCTGGAGCAAGTGAAAAGTCCAATGGAACTTCTTCAGCTGGCGGATATAGAGGATAAAAGCTGTTTTCATTTATTTAAAAATTAACAAGTCAGGTACTCTAGATCTCCGATCTCTTGAAACAACAAAAATATCAAGTGGAGGAGTTTTCAATAAGAATTTTCAAACGTACCTGCGCTGACTGATAATATGGTTTGCAAGTCTACTCATTCGATCACTGGGTGTTCCATCTGTTGGATTTCGTGACATCTCCTCGCCGCTTATCTGTTTTAGAATGTCCACTGTGCAGCAGCCTACTTTGACCTGAAACTAAAACTATTAAACAGAATACATGCATTGCACACTCTGATGCAGATTCATGTTTATGAAAAATAATAAGGATCAATAGAACCTCTGAAATTTGAAGTTGTGGGATGCTTGGATACTAGACCTAAGTGGCATGTGATCTTGAAAAAAATCACAAGATTTTCAATTTTCAAGAATGGATCCTGGGAAATTTCAGGATCTTTACTGACCACCCAGGTTGCTTAACATGCTCTAGAGAAACGAGGCTTGGGCTTGGTCCAAGCTAGAATTCTAGTAAATTCAACTACTCTGGCAGAACATTCTATTGACATGCACAAAATATATAAATTTGTCGTCTATGGAACCTAAACCTAGACTGAACCTGAAAGGGGTTCAAAAAAATTGAGCTTCATTTATAATTATAATCCTTTAGGTTTGCTTAACAGGATGGAAAACTTACGTCCTGAATGTTATAATTTTCCCTAGGTTCTCAACCTCTTGGTTTGCTACCCGAGCAGATAGCCAGAAATTCTGAGCTCTAATTACTGATCCAAAACAATAAACATTTGCCCATAAAAACCGTACTCGGTGAATCATCCAAATGGTGAGCAATCAGTATTTGGATACGATTAAGGTCTACAAGAACCTCATTATAAAGATTAACCTAGCACATTTGAATAACAAAAGTAATATAGCTTGTATTGAACACAAGACAGTTCAAAGTTGATTGTCCAACAGGAACTTCTAAACAATACATGTGCTATGAATAGTTTTTGAAAAATGGAAATTCTAAATCAATTTTCCATCAGCGAAAACCAAAAAATCATTGTTGAGAGTTTCAAGCAAGAAGAATTGAAAATTTGAGTGTAAAAAAGTGGGCATCATTTTTTACCTGATTTGCTTCAAAAATTCCTGGATTTGTGAGACCAGTTATCTGGCAAAAGGACAGAAAATAATATAAAATGTATGATCTGCATGGGGTGGTAAAATGTACCGCAAATACCTTCTTTGTTTGTTTGTTCTTCTTCTTCTTTTTTTTTTTTATCAAACAAGCAGTGTCTTTCTAGTCACAACACGAATGACTCGAATCATATATATCATGTACCTGATGTTCGAGATTGGGGAGATGAATATCAAAAGCAGGCTGCACAACAACAGCTAAATCTCAGTAACAAATATACACATCTATAGGTAAAAACAATATACACAAGACATGCACGCGTGTGCTTACTATGATTAAGTAAAGGAATTATTTTAGGACTCAATATATCACTATCATGACCTGTGGGAAAACAAAATCATGCTGAGCATCCCGTATAGATGGAACAAGAATCACACGCACATTAGAGCCAGCATATTCCACATGGTCTTGCAACTGAAAGAATAAACAGCTAAATGATTATAAAACAATGAAGTTGCTTCCAGGAAACAATTCACAACGTTTTGATTAGTTACCCTTCTCAGAATTTCCTGACAAAACAACTCATCAAAGCTCCTGTCTACAGCCCCTTTCTTAACCTCTGGATGTTCAGAGTCGATGAATGGTCCCATCTAAGAAAAACTGCCAATAAGTCTACGAAATGATATTTCCTGAGCCCATAACCCAAGCATGACAACGCATTCAAAAATAGTAAAATCATACCAGTACAAGTAATTGTGGTAACTTTCTGCCCGCATATGCAAGCAGCTCTGTCAGAGGCTCAAAGAATAAGTTGTCTGTTGTGGTGAAAGGGCCCGAAGCAATAAGCTGTTAGATACAAACAGATTATTTCCTATAGGATCGAAGTATTGCAAAAATACAAGAGAGCAAACATGATTGCTCAATTTATTATGATCTCACATGTGACTTATGAATGAAAACTTTGGCAGAAAAGTGAATTATTCTCTTAAGTGGCGAGGTTTAAGCTTTTATTCTACGAGTATGCAAGTTTTATCCGCTTCAAGCAGCAATTTAAAACCTCCTGCCTTCTCAGCTTTGCAGTAGTTTCTCTACAGTTAACAAATGAAATGCACACGCTGCTGCTGATACTTTTCAAATCTATCCCATCTGAAAGCCTTTAAGTCATTAGCTTCTACAAGCGCATCATTGATCCTGAACATTTTAAACTATTTTAATTCCATATTTTCAGTTAAATGCTATACTATGGACTCTTCCAATGTTTGCACCCCAAATCATCTGTCCCTTCCACTCAGCAACAGCTATGAAACATGGCATGTATGGCTTATGATCAAGCACAAGAAACAGTGTTATTCTAATATCCTCAATTGAAGCAGAAGACAAAGCTACATACAGCTGATATCTCCTTTTGTACAAAAGAAGAATCGGTTGACTCAACCACCAGATCCAAAGCTTGCTTCTTTGTAGGATGCTGATTCACAGCAACAGTGGCAGATAAAGGAACTGAGTCCACCAGTTTAGATGCAATCAAACAATGTCCACTAGGATTTTGACCTTCAATACCTACAATCTGCAGAAATGCAACCTTGTGGGCTAAGCTTGATTTAGGGATATATGGATCAAAGATCAATAATCTTATTTATAGTTTACCTGTCCTGGAAAAATGGAGAATTGGCTCAAGTTATGCAATTCTAAACGAACATTGCAGCCTCCAGAATGCTCAACACTGTTGCATAGATATGGCACACATAATCAGGACTGGCATTCAACAGTCTCTTTCCCGTGACCATCGTTCATATCACAACAAGAACACCCTGATTGTCAGATCTTTTGACTATGAATCTAGGAACTGGGCAATCTAGGCCCCGCTTTAGCCTGGACACAACCCTTCGGGGGCAAACTTGGCCAAGACAGTTAATTTTTATCACATTGCCTCATACACGGGCTTCTTCCAAAATGAGACCAGATTTTTAGACCATGAATTGACATCATTTCTGTTCTCCTTAAATATACCAGCGCATAAATCTACTTCATCATGGATGTCCTATTGTGCACGTCACATCATTTCCCTTACAAGTTGATTGATGCAAATGAATAGCACAAAGGAAAATCATGTGACTTCTTACCTGCTTTGCAACATGATGGATTTCTCATTTAAACGCCCTTCTCCATCACAACAGATCATTCCGACAGCAAATATATTTCTCTGAAACAATAGTTCTAATCAGAGGCATGGATGAACAGCTTTATAGCAGTGTAAAAGTTTACATAAAGCATGCTGGAGAATTTAGAAAGCAATTAATTCATCAAAGGCAAACTAAAAAATTATTTTCTTTCTCTTTCACAAGAAAAAAGAAGAAGCAAATAACAGAAGAGTATAGGGAGAATTTTGGATATAAGATATCTAACACAATTGATATGTTAGGGTCCCCACACAGTTATTTACATCTAACAGAGATAAGCACGTGGCCATGTTATTTCATGCTGGCATGATTGCAGTTATCAGAATGCTAACGAGAAGATAAATGAAAGCAGACAACAGCCAAGTTACCTGTGAAGCAACTGTTGGGTCCATTGGTTCCTTATACAGCCCAGAAGCAAAGAGCACAGTTGCATGCTTTCTAATGCGATTTTCTAGTGCATTAAACTGAATGGTTGGAAAATTATGTTAGTGAAATACAGAAAAATTGGAGGTACGAAGAACCACTTTATAGTTTATGCAATAAGAAGCATCATATACCCTATCTTCAATCTTGTCATACATGAACCTGCAACCAGGTTCTGGCCCCAATCTATGGACCATCAAAGAACACCTCTTGCAGGGTTGAGCCCTCCTAATAATTTCATCCTCAAGATTCCCATGGTCATGCTCACCATCATTGTTATCCACCACAGGAAGGCTATTGATGTTGAATTTGACTACAAACTTATCAGTCCGCCGTCCAAACGGTGTCACAAGTTTTGATGGTTTACCAGAAGAATAGCCATTTCCATACGATTTGGGTGTTGAATTGAATGGATCTGAGTTGAGTTTTAAAGATTTGTCTGTTGGGGTCCCGGGAACTTCTTCTTTCATATCTTCTTCATCGTAATTCAAGATCCTAGACAGCATGATACATTTCAATCAAATTTAACAGACCAAACATTTTCAATCCAGCACAGAAACAAATTAACGAGCAAAACAAAGAAAGAGTAGTCAAATAAACTGCTCACATGTCCACATCTTTGCTTGAATAGATGTACAAATCGGGTTCCTCTTTAACAACGGCTTCTTTCTGTTCATTCTGCAGGTGCAACAAAAACCCATCCATTTCAGCATTTCGAACCGTCGATTCATCAAGTAGCCTGCACCAAAGTTAAGCTTGAAAGGCAATAATTTTGTTCTTTTTTACGGCGAAAACTCTATAAAAATAAATAAATTACCATGAAAATAATAAAGAAAAAAGAAACCTAGACGGAGCTCACCTATTGAGATAGTAAACCTCCCAGCTCGAGACGAGGTCTGATGGCTTCAGATTGTAATTTATACAGAAAGTAAGACCTAATAATTAAAGCACATTATGATCTGAACAGAACTATTGGCATTGCAAGAAAATTAAGGGACAAAAGTGCAAAGCAGGGCTTACATTTCTTGAGGACTTCTTCTTCATCGTCTAGAGAGAACCCGCTCTTCTTAAATTCTTCTTTGATTTCCTCTTCCATCAAGCAACCTCTCTCCCCCTCTCAGATTCTCTCTCTTAGGGTTTCGTTCTCTCCCCCTCTCAGATTCTCTCTCTCCCTTTGAGCAAAATGGCGGGAAGATAAAGTTGTTCGGTAGACAAAATAGATGTCTTCGCGGGTTTTTAATTTATACTCCCCTCTCCTTTACATTTATTTCGAAAATGCCCTCAAAGAAGTCCGGTCCAATGGGCCCGTTCCAGCCCGTTTGCCTGGCAAATTGTTTTATATATATATAAATTGTTATGGGCGAGGGATTATTCAATACATTTTCATATAAAAAATAAAATAAAATAAATATATATGTTATAAATAAATAAATAAATAATCATTAAAGCATTGGATTACATGTTTTTTTTTTAATTTTTAATTTTTTTTTTAGTTTTTTAGAACAATAATTTAATTTCTCGATTTGATTTGAGGATATTTTCTATTTATAAATATATATTTATACTTTTATTAATTATCTTTCATCTTTTACTTCTTGCCATTTATTTCCCTTCTTTACCACTACTATTCCTCTTTAGCAAAATGTGGGTATATATTGTTACATAATATACCACGATTGATTAGTATAAGTGGATATATCTTCCAGGTAATTGTTTATGATTTAAATGAATTTTAATAATTTTAGATTTAAAAATTAATAAAAAATATAGTTTTGATATAAAAAAAACAATCATTAAATAAAAGAAAATATTGGCATGCAAGATTTTTTTTTTAACACCATTAGTGTAATATTCCGTAGATGCCAACTTGCATTTTTGAACAGCTTGAGAAACTTTCATGGAAGAAAGAAAGAAAGAACCCTTTCCAAACTAAAATTTCATGCAAACCCCCATGAAAGTTATCAACGATGGAGAAGTTGTTATTGTTGTTTGATACAGAGAAATCTTAACATAAAACAAACCAGCTCCCCAAGCGCTGTATAAACAGGAGGACACAACATCAACTCTACAACTGTTAATTAAATTTGAGTTTCCTGCTAAGTTCAAAGGCCATAACCAGCAGCTCAATCAACACCCTTTCTTTACACTTGGTCTGCCCTTGTCTCGCATTTGGTGTGATGCTCATGAGAAGAACTCGTAGTCTTTGGCTGTAAGGATGATATGTCTTAGGGCACCAATGGGTGACAATATCATCAGCAAAATTCCAAGCACAATGCAGACCTGAAATATATTTTTGAATTATTCAGCTCATGCAAACCTCAAAATATAATTGATTTCTAAACAATGTCAAGCTTACGCACCCAATTTGCTATCCAAGAGAAGCTGAACTTCTTGGGTTTATAGATGGCAAGCCACATGATGCAAGGGAGCTGTAAAGAGTTGATTTTTTTGTCAGTGATGATAGCATAAATATGAAGCAGGTATGTGGTAAATGATATATATATATACTGGGTTAGTAATGAGTTCTTACGAAGTATGTTGTTGGGGCAAAAGCAAATCCTCCGAAGAACGAAAGCAGGCCACCGAAGAATGGAATACATATACCAACAATCATTGTGAACCCTGCAGCAAACAATATTCAAAGAAGAGATTGAGCGCCCAAAGCTGCAGATACAAACTTGCAGAGGCGTTCAGAATAGGTAGCTTGCTAGCTGAAAGAAAAATAGAGCGGCCTGGATGCCGCACTTACCAACATATACCGTGCGAGTAACAAAGCGAAGCATGAAAGAAGGAGAAAAATGGAGTTTCTTCACCAATGCAGTTTCCAACATGTCGAACACTGCTATAGCATATATCTGCAGATTGAAACATGCATCATGAGTCAATATACATGTATGTGTGCATGCAGTAGGCGCTGGAATCGACCGAAACTGAATTAACCAGGGAAAAAAAAGAAGTAAAACGCACCTGATAGCTTCCAATAACATGAATGACAACAAACATGTTAGCAGTTGCAATAAGCCAAGCTGGTTTCTCGAGTGAGATAAGAATGTTGTCTTCCACGCTGTTTCCAAAAAACCAGTATCCAATCAAGGCAACTGGGAAGTAGCAGATGGCGACGACGACATATGCAAGGAAGGCTCCTCTCCACATGGGTTTCTTGGAAGGCTTCTCTGGAGTAGAGGGAATTGTTGCTTGGATCTCCAAGATCACATTGTGACCGGCATATGCAAAAGCTATATCACCCAAGGCAGAGAAAAAGTCAAAGACAGCTCCGGTTTTAGTGCTCGCTTTATAGCTGTAGTCGACATCAGGCTGAACACCCTTATTAAGCGTGGCTCCCCAGGCAATTGTGGAGTAACTGCATGATGCAATCACCGCCATATCCATATAAAAAAGAGGGTCTTGGATTATATACGTATATAGATTAAACTGAATAGTGAGGCGAATTGAGTAGCTAGGTGCGTACCTCAAGGACATGACTGCTGCAGCCAGAGAGATAACACTAATGGAGTTGAGATTGGGAAGATGAGCCAGAACAAACTGAAGCGAAGCGAAAATCATGATGAAGTACGTTAGCCTGATGTCTTTGCAGTCGGAGCAAACCAAATCATGGAATTTCTTCAATGATTTTCCTCCGGTAACCATATAGACTATGTTTACTCCAACTTGTACAACTAGTTGCTGTGGCACAACAATCCAGAGACCCAACTTCTCTCCAAACGCATGTTGTCCTAGCTCATGGTATCTATCAAATCGCTTACCAGGAACCATCTCATGCATTTCAACCATTTGCCATAGAGTGTATAGCGTGATCACCCATGATAAAACAAGTATGGCGACACCTGGTCCCCTAAAATTTCATGGATGCAGAACAAAAAATTAATTAATAGTTAAGCTCATACATATATTGATCTATGTATATATAGTAAAGTTAAGATTAAGCATATATTTATAGATACATACCATCCAAGTTGAGCCATGGCATAGGGGAGACTAAGAACACCAGCACCAACCATGGCAGTGACATTGTGGAAGGTTGAGTACCACCATTTGGCATTCCTCGAGGAAGTGACTGGAAGCCAATCATTTATGGCCTTTTCTCTTGCTGCTTCATCGTTCTGTGACTCGTTGTATGACATAATTGCAATCAAGCTAGTTTACGTAACACAACAAAAAGTCACAGAAACGTTTGTTTGATTCAAAGCGATCTTAGCCTCCCGGAATAACCTTCTCCTCGAGCCACAGGAAACTCCAATAAAATGGTCGCCTCCAAATACAATTTATAATGAAGATACGCGAGAGAATATCGGTGGAGGATTCTGTAATTAGCAGATGATCCTTATACCAAAGATGGTAAATTGGCAATTGGTGGTTAGGATACTATTTATCTTCTGAGCTAAATTTTGAATCTTGCTTGCCTGTTTGTTGAGAAAGATAGGGGATTTCTCTTATAAAAACACCAAACTACCCTTATCTTGTTTGATGTTTATATTAAAAGGAGGGGTTTTATTAGTCAATTTGCTCATATTTAAAGATTGTATGTTGAATTTGTAATCTTAATAGCTGCTAGTTGATCGCTGATTCCTAAAAAAAACAAGCTGTAATTAGATTATTAAGTTGGAAACATGGAGATATAAAGGGAAGAATTTAATTTTTTTTTATTTTTTATTAATCCACTAACACTTCAGAGCTCCAAACAATAAGGTGGATACAAAGAAATACTCAATTATTTGACTAAAAAATACTATTTTTTTTACTAGCTAAATTTTGAATTTTGTTGACCTGTTTATTGAGGAAGGGTAAGGGATTTCTCCTATAAAAGCACCAAGATACTCTTATCTTGTTTGATGTTTATATCAAGAGGAGAGGCTTCATTAATCAATTTTCACATATTTAAAGATTGCACATTAAATTTGTAATCCTAATAACCACTAGTTAATTGTTGATTTCTAGAAAAAACACAAACTATAATTATATCATTAAACTAGAAACATGGAGATATAAAAGGGGGGAGTCTAATTTTTTTTTTTATTATTAATATGCTAACACTTCTGAGCTTTAGATACTATGGTGAATACAAAGAAATACTCAATTATTTGAGAAAGAAATACTATTTCTTTTTCAGATCAAATTTTAAATCTTGTTAACCTGTTTATTGAAAAAAGATATGAGATTTCTCCAATAAAAACACTAAAATACCTTAATCTTATTTGATGTTTATATCAGGAGAGGCTTCATTACTCAATTTGAGTATATTTGAAGATTACACATTGAATTTGTAATCCTGATAACTATCGATAGCTACCAGCTGATCGCTGATTCTTAAAAAAAAAAAGTTATAATTAGATCATTAAATTGAAAACATGTGGATATAAAAGGAGAGTTTTTTTTATTATTATTATTACTAATATTATTGTGCTAACATCTATGAGCTCTAAATAGTGTTGTGAATACAAAAAAAAATACTTAATTATTTGACCAAAAATGGGTTAGTTACAAAATCTTGTCAAGAAATCATGAGGTACATAAGGGTATTCTGCTATATAGAAATGGTGCTTTCTATATTTGATGCAGATGGTGCATTCGATTTGGGATGAACATGTTACACACCTGATGTTGTTGAATCATCAATTACATGTGCAGCAGAACAAGAAGAATATAGTTAGAGTCGTAGGACATTAACCATGGATCTAATAGCCATATTGTCGTCTTGCTTCCCAACTAATCATCCACATGAATGTTTCCATCAACTTCGACATCAGCTTTTGATATCTGTTGGGGAACTAAGAATATAGTTAAAATTCGCAGTGTTTGATTTCGGGGAACAGCTGTATTTTTTCAAAAAAATAAATTTTAAAATTAAAAAAAATATTATCTTATTATATTTTCGAGTAAAAAACACGAAAAACAATCTCAAACACGCCATATCCTCAAACACACTCTATCGGTATACAAAGACCAAATGAATTAAGAAAATTAATGTGGAAAGAACACTACAGATTCCAAAACAAAAGATTCTACTATGAGGATCCTGCCGAAACTCGCAGGTGTTTTTACAATCAATTCAGGTTACTAGAGGAGTGGCATGCTTGTAGCTCTGATTCGTCCCTGAATCTTCCACTGCTAGCCCTTGAGCAATAAAGCAAAAATACTGGTTCATCGACTTCTTGTTGAAGGATGCTTGTTTATGCTTCGATGGCTGATTTGAGAAAGAGGTTCCTGCAATATCAATATCCTTTTCTTTATCCAATGAAATGGGCGATGACAGGGATGACCCTGAAAATGGACTTGAAGGCGATCTATCTGAAACAGCTAAATGTTGATTTGTTTGAATAGCACCATGCATTAGCCCCATGGTAAATTTCTTTCTAGTTGATGGACTTGGAAGACCGCTCCTTCCAGAAATTGTTCTTTTGTTGGTTGAGAGGGAAAACAGTTTTGAGTATCTCTGCCTGAGAGGAATTGGACGGTCTTCCAAGCTTTGGCATAAATCAAATGAGTTTACGGAGTCATCATCTTCTAACTCCATCACTGCAGCTTTTTTCTCTTTCCTCCTGGGCAACTTAAGGAGAGACCTCAGACGCCTTGCAGCCTTATTTACAGAACCTGATTTTTTGTTTTCCGAGGAGTTACCCGTGTCAATATCACTTGGGCCACTCAAGCATGAATTGTCACCAACACTTGTGTGATCGCAACTGGCATCAGATGCGTTCTCAATACCAGTGTACAAGAACACCTCTGCATCTGGAATTCTAAAAGAAGTGCCAGGACTCATTCCTATACCATGCCCTTTCAGATGGGAAACAATAGCTTTTCTGGCTATGTTATCCTGACGATAAGAAATCCCTCCAGCTGAAATCAGCTGCTTGATTAGAATTTCAGAAGATGCTGATCTTGGCCGTTGCTTGAGGAGATCTAGTGGAGTCATGGCGTCCATGTCACTACTATTAAGTTGATTGATGGTATGGAGGGCTGTTCTTCCATCGTTGTTCTTGACATTGGTGACATCTTTGATATTCACAATCTTACCACTCATTAACTGAGTGAAGAGCTCAATCTGCCTATCCACTCTTCGAAAACCAGGGGTCTGAAAGCCTGACACTGCCATATGGAGAAAAGTATCTCCGTAGTTGTTTGTAAAGGAGGCGAGTGAGGGAGATGCAAGTATCAAAATCTCTACCACAGCCAAGTAACCCCTGTAAGCAGCCACGTGTAGTGCCGTATTCCCTTGATAATCTTTGGCGTCGATGATATCAAAGGATGTAATTAGATCCTTAACTACCTGCACGAACAGGATAAGTTTTTCTGTAAGTGTCATTTTTCTCAGGTCTAAGGGATATCACCATGAAGAACAAAGTGGATTCATCCCTGCATGAGCACAAAATAAAAAAACGAAGGGATAATAAGAACAAAATGGACTCGAAATGAGCATGCCATCAGAAAGGCTCTAGATATAAACTTTCTCCAATCATGAGTAGACAGGAGTAGTCCTGACATGTGATAGCCAGTCCATCAAACAGAAGTGAGAGAGAACTCTATAATTCTGTTGGCCATTTCTTTCAAGAAAGCAAAACGAGTAAACTCTTAGGGCAAGAACAGGCCTTGCTGAGAGAGGAGGTGAATCTGAGAATCTAAAGTGAGAGGGACTTGCCAATGTACACACTGAAGGGCTAACAGCAATACGAGGAGTCTCCCAGAAAAGGCTACTGCCCATTTGACAAGTCAGGGTTCTCCATTTGAACAAGGCTCGTACAATACGAAATAATGCTAAAATTAGCATCTGAACAACCAAAACCCAAATGACACTCTGAAAAATATACGTTTCATATGAGCGGTGGAGAAAGGCACCTTCAACTCATATGCATAACCAGACCTGTACATTAAAATATTGTAAAATGATAGGTGGAGAAATTCACCTAAAGCCAATGAAAGATGTGGACTACTGACAGAAGGGAGGAAAATAAACCAGGAGCAATCAACTAGTCTAATCTGAAGCATCACAAACAGCCCCCTTCTTCAAAAAGGGGAGATCAATCGTTCTCTATCAGTCATGTAATATTGGATTACTGTCCTTTCTACAGCTCATTAACCTGATGCATTGAAGCATGTACTCAGAAGAGAGGAAAGGAAAGACAACCATGCTCTAGCAAATTAAATAACAGGAAAACTTCTGATAATAGTACAAGAATGAATATGTGAAGCTACTGATAAAGCATAGAACAGAATAGTCCTCACCTCGACCTGCCCCCTCCCTGCGGCAGCATGTAAGACGGTCGACCCTTGAGCATCTCTATAAACAAAAACATCCGAGCAATCCCCTAGAAGCTCCTTCAAAATCTCCAAATTCCCACCTCTAGCTGCAGCATGGACAGCTCTATTCATAATCTCCCACTTAAATTCCGAAGGAATCTCACTCTGCTGCCCCTCTAACTCTCCTCCAGAGCCAAGGCCATATCGTGGTGAAATAGAGAAATCAAGCAAGAGCCTGAAAACCTCAGAATTCCTGCTCCTGGCCGCGGCATAAAATATGTCAGTGACACCATATTCTCCTTCTCCAAAAACAAGAAGAGGGTTTCTCTCCAACAATTCCTTGACAAAGGTCCCATCACCAGCTGAAGCAGCAGTGTACAAAAGCCAACCACCATGTCCAGCTCTAATGAGAGTGTTGTGACCTCTTTTTGTTTCACATTCTAGCAGGAGCTGTCTGGCTACATGAGAACGACATTTAGCAACACCATCGAACTGCTCCTCGTCGTCCCAAACAGTTTCAAGCCGACTAATCCGACGAAGGGAAGTGAGTTTGATGAGGAGATTGGTGTCAAGGTAAATAAGCTCTCTCACCAAGTCATAGTAGCCATTAGCAGCTGCGAAATCAATGGGTGACGCATACCACCACTGATCTCCAGTGCTTTCCCACCTAAGAGGGAAGTATGAAGATGGCATTGTTGCCTATATTCAGTAATAAAACCAGAAACTATAAGCAGAGTTGTTAATCAAGCGTAGAGAATTCAAGAATCCAGCTGCAAGTTGTGAAATGGGAGGAAAAGTTGCAAGAGGGAAATGCCATTAGCCAGTAATGATTACTAGTTTCACCTTTTAAAGTGAAATCAATTCTTTTTATGTGAGAATATTTTCGGGAAAGTTGCAAAGATAAGGAATCTTGGAATTCAGGAACAAAAATCAGATCACGTAGCAAGACAGCTTGTGGGAGTTAAACGAAGCACAGTGGAGAGAACAGATAACTATCGGAAACCCACAAACAACCCTCCAATAGATTGTTAGAAAGAAAGCCAGGAGGGAACATGACCCAGGAGACAAAAACGGGGCAAAGAAAGAAATTGCCGCTCCAATGGGGCTATACCAAACCTTCAACTGTTCGCACTTCGCATGCTAATGTCAGTTTGACAGTTTGGGTATGAAAATAAATATAGAGTTTGGTAAGATGTTTATTTATTTTGTATAAATAAAACATATCTAGGATATAATTATGCATTTTAAACCTTTTAAAGAATTAAAAAAAAACAAAGGCAGAAAATATATTGTTTTATTTATATATGTTCTACACATGTAATAACAAGTTTATATAAATTTAAAATATTATAACTGTTAATATTATGATACTTAATGAAACTAAATAATTGTTAATGAAACAGTTATGTTTTAATTTATTCAGTTTTATTCTAGCAATTATAAATATTAAAATTAATTATAAAAATTAAAAGAAATAAATTTAAAAAATTATTAAGTGACAAGTGACATCTTTTAATGTTATAAATAATCATTTAAAAGTATTAGATATCCCGCTCTAAGAGCTCATCCACCATTTTTAATGGTAAAAACTCACCCTCTGTACAATTAGAAAAGAGTGTTTCTTTATCGACATTCTTTTCTTCTTTATTCATTTACAAGCTACCACTTAATTTTTAGCTTTTCTGGAGATATATTTCTTTCTTGTGGTGGAGAAAAGGAGTGTTCAATGTTCATGAATTCCATCTGTCCCTGGAAAGGGAAATCTCAACAACAGGATTCACGCAGCATTCACACAGAATTGATCATATCTTTGCTTTCTTGTATCGAATTCTCTGTAGGACGTTCTACAGCCTCCCCTTCTACGTTCTGATCTTGCATTTCAGACACCAGTGCTCTGTGCAGGGATCTTCACAGATGTCACCAACTCACCGGAACTTGCATCAGTGGACAGAACAGAAAAGGGACATTAACTAGTGGCTTGAATCTGCCGTTGAAGTAACTGAAAGTTTGCTAGGCCCATGCATCTACCTCCACTAATAAAGAACCTGCACCTAACTGCTCATGCAAGCCTTCGGGCAATCAATTTTTTACTTTTTCTTTAGGAGTCGAACCCATCATCATGTCGCAAGTTTTCTCCTTTGATTCTTGTTTAGTATTGATCCAACTCAAGACTAACTACTTGAGTCGTTGCGAGGAAAGTCACTTGTCGATTCAGTTGTCTTCAATTAAAGTGCTTTAAAATTAATTATTTGTTGATTTTTTTCAAAGCAAGTTCATACACATCAATGATTTGTAGTTAAATGGCAATTAGTTGGTGTTGAAAGTCAGCATGACAAAATGAATTCAATTTAATAATTTAAGTTGTTAAATAAAATTTTAAAATATAATTTATATTATTTTTCAATAAAAAATTTTAAAATATAATCTATATTATTCTTTAACAAATTTAAAATAAATTTTTTTTTATCTTGACATCTATATAAACTTATATTATCTTATGCTTGATTTTTATCAAATATATAGAGATAATAAAATTCAAATTCATGATCATTTAGTCATCAAAACTCTAATACCATATTAAAAGAACTAATTTAATTTAAAATCTTAACATCACATAATTTATATTATTTTTTAATAAAATTTATTAGGAGTTAAATTTGATAATTTGGATGTGTATAATTCATGATCAATTCATGATTTTTGAGTATTGGAATTTAAAAATATAATAATTATTATTTTTTAAAATATTTTTTGTTTAAAAAAATATATCAAAATAATATATCTTTATTTTTTAAAATTTATTTTTGACATCAAATATTAAAATAATTAAAAAAAATTTAAAATTTAAAATATCTCAAAGATCAGAAGATTTGGTGATTTGGTTAGCTGATGGAATAATCCACTGGTTGTGAAATTTATTGTGAGAGCTGGAGCCACCGAAGTGCCATGGGCACCAAACATGCTGATTGAGATTCTACTGCAGAGCAGGAGGTCCAGCGCCCCCCAAAATGCGTAAAAAGAGAACATTCGACGCTTTCAATTCAACAAACTGGGCTGTACAAAACTCGCTAATCTCTACTTTAACCACAAGAAAATCAAAATTGATACAGTAGCCAGTCCAAATTTCGCTGTAGTAATCTCCCTGCTTATCAGTAATGTTTCTCTTCTTCAAGCTTGTTACTACCCTCGATCACTTCTTAGTACGTATTTAAACCAGGCCGTGTAAATATTTTGCACCCTGTTGAACCCTATCATGTGTCTTTTCATCACCCTCTCATGAGGAAACCTTGCTGATCAAGTGGTTGCATTTCTGAATGAAGTCCTGGTCATGAACCGGGCTCTTTATTAATTACTTTTTGTTCCTCCCTGCACAAAAGGGAAGCTTTGCTCTGGGAGATTGATGCTTTAAAATATAGTGAGCAAAAATTTAAAGGTCTTGCCTTGTAAAATACTCGAAAACTGGCCCATGGTTGGCTTCATGTTCTCCGGGGACAATGGACATCCTCATTGAAGCAAATGCCTGGGCCCATGCGCCGTCGCTTCTTGGTTTTGTTTTACTTCTCATCACTTATCAGAAACATCGGATCACAAGATATGATTTTCTTACAATTCTTTAGGGGTATCTGAGCACACAGACAAGATTATGTGATGCTTCCTCCAATGGGCACCGAAAGTCAAACAAACTAATAAAGATACATAATAGAACGCAAGCGCAGAAACAGTAAAGGTCCAGGTTTGCAATGTACCAAATCATTCGAAACTTACTGGATTCAAAGAGAGGAGACAAACCATGTCATCTGGGATCTTTATTAAAATGTTTAACCTCCAAACAAAAAAAAAGCCACCGACCAGCCTATTAATCCACATTATGCAGAGGCGAGGTTGAATTTGTATCTTCACTCCTTCACTGTCCACAGTTTCGGGCAAAATCAGCAGTAGCCATTAGCATATTCTGTTTTCACGGGAAATCTTGCCTCCAACCCATTTTCCATTACTAGAAAGCATAAACTAAGGTATTATAGAACTAAAACCAAAGGTGCCCAGAATATCAAACTTAAGAACTCTAAGTCACTACCTCAATGTACTCAGCACTGCAGTCAATGGAGTAATACAGCTGACTTTGCAGCTTTGCAGGGAATCAATAAAAATCACTCTCTCTCTCCTTTTGCTTTCATCACTAATCATTGTCATCATGCATTAACCTCACACAAGGGGTGGCCCCAAATTAACTAAAATACTCATTAAATTTGAACTATACTGCAATCACGCTTTCATAAGAGTGTCTAAGCATTCACAACAAGCTGTAGGAAAAAACGAGTGTCTTTTTCAAGATAACTTATAGAGCAGGGAGTGTCCGTACGAGTTTGGCAAAGAGATAAAAAACATACGTGAAATAGAGCAATCTTAAGACAGCATGTTCATATCACATTCACTAGCACAATGCAAGACTCGTATGCAATTGCCAGCTGGGAAGCAACTAAGAAATGACATATATATGGTCAGCTGCATTCTCTTGAATATTGCTTGGGGCAGGTAATATTGAATACAAGAATTCGAATATCAAATCTGTTCCCCAAAACATCTCATTCTGAAAACAAGAGTGGTATTTCTTTGAGTGTATCTTGCATTACTTTCAAATAACCGCAAATAAGGAAAATTTCACACAAAAATACTTCAATTAGACAAGGATGTACTCATGACAGTTGAATGTAAGCATCTGCTAATAACTATCACATAATTATGGCAGGTGCTTGTCTGAAACAGAGTTCGTTTGCATCACATGTCAAGCAGGTTGCCGCTTTATAATGCTTCATGCTGCAGAAAAAACAGGTTGCTAATCAAGTAGCTAATATGGCAAGGGAAGATCATTCCTCGTTTATCGTCGAGGATACAGGAATAAGAAATCACGGTGAAATTTTGCACATGGATTTAAAACCTTTAGGACCACAGGAACCCCTCTTGCTCTAGAGACATTGCCACACTTGCAAGTGCCTTGATTGATTGATGATCATTTTATGTGAGAAATAAAGTTAAATTATTTCGCAAGGCTAATTACATCTAAAATTTTACAGCCTGCCCTTAATTTGCTTGTTTTATTTTGTTATTTGGAATAACATGGCATAAATGGAGAGTATATTGTTTGCATCTGTTTCCATGAGATTTGAATTCAATGAATCATACAAAGACATAGACTTGAAGCATAGAGAGCAAGTGAAACATAGCAAGAGAAAAGAAGACAAATGCATTGGTGTTATGATTAGCTTCTAACGATACCTAACAAAAGTACAGTTGGGTTTTAACAAGATATTGAACCGGTGTTTATCATATTATTTTCTTCATTATAGGACACAATAACTTATTTCACTAATGTGTTCATCTTTGGGGACTCATTTTCAATTTGCTATGAATCTCATGTCTCACTGTTTGATTTCATTCACTGTCAGGAAAATGACCTTCACAATCACGATCCAAACCTTGGTTTGATTACCAATGACAGAAAATCCAATTGTAGACAGTACAAGCGCAAAACATGAACTCAACCTGCCAAGCACTTGTTTTTCTTTTAAGAAAATGAATAAAGTAGTGAGAAATCAAATATGCCCAAAATGACCAAAAATAGAACCACTGTGCCAAAATGCCATGTATTAGTATACCACATGCTATGGGAGACAAATAAGTATTAGAAAAAGAGATAATTAGAATAAGTTCACCGGGGAGGCTTGCGCCTTGCATTTATAATTTTTTTTCATGAAATCTCCAATTTTCTCAGCACTATCAAGCATACTCTTCAGTTTGACCTCCTCCAAAAGCATATGACATGTTTGATATTTCGGTACTATATCTTTACTGATCATTTCCTCAAACAGATGGTAAGCCCACTCGCATTTGTTTGCTCTGCAAAGGCCATGAATTAAAAGAGCATAGGCTGATCTATCAAGACTTAGTTGATGCTTTTTCACCATGTCATCCAATAATTGACTCAACAAGTTCATGTCTCCAGTTCTAAGGCTTGACTTAAGCAATGGGTAGAATGTCTGACCATCAAGTTTGAAAAGTGCTGATGTTTCCATCTCCCTGAGAAGACTAAGGCCCTTTGATACATGACCATGATGACAGAGCATAGCAATCATGGAATTATAAGTAGATGTATCACGGGAGACCCCGGCATTTGGCATCTCCTTCTCAAAAACATCAATAGCCTCCTGAAATCGGCCAGCTCTCCCTAATATATAAATCAAAGAATTGAAAAAAGGTGTATCAGGTTTACATCCGGCTGACTTCATTCTCTGATTTAGTTGTAAAACCTCCTCAATATTCTGTGACTTGGCCAGAAAAACAATCATGGTGGTGTAAGTAACAACATTTGGTGGGCACCCTTGCGCTTCCATTTCATCAAGGAGCTCATAGACCTTAGAAAAATTGTATTGGCGGCAATAGAATAGGATGATGGTTGAGTAGCTGATTACACAAGGTCGAAAAGCATGCCCTTTCATCTCTTGGAGAGTCCAGTGTGCTTCATCAACTAGATTGGCTTTACACCAACCATGAATAAAAATGTTAAATGTGTAAGCATTAGGCAAAATGTGTGATTTAAGCTCCAAGAAGATAGCGCGGGCCTGCTCAACTTTGCCCTCCTTGCAAAGCGTGTCGAGCAACAAGTTCATAGACTCCGTATTCTTCTCCAAACCAAATGTTCCTAACTCGTCAAACATCCTCACAGCATCTTCCCATTTTCCTGCCCCCGAAAACCTTCTCATAGCCTTACCCACAGTGTTAAGTGTAACTAGATGATTTCGATTCATTTCCTCGAATAACTCCCTCATTTGATCCATTTGTTTCATTTTCCCCAGAATGTCCACCATCATATCATATGCCTCGGGTCTATGCTTGTAGCCAGGGCGTAATCCAGCCCATCTAAAAATACCCAAAGCAGATTTCCAATCATCCTTAAAGCGGAGGAGTAATTTGTCAACAAGATCATTAGAAACCTCAATGTTATGGCACACTTGTTCGTGCGCCAAAGACAGAAGAATCTCATCAGGACTGCTTCCTACACGAGCTTTGGCAGCTACTAAGTTCACAGTCGACTGATTTCTAGAGTCTAGACAGTTATCTTGGTAATCTAATACAGTCGTGCTTGTAAGCACGGAAGGTAATTGAGGAGAAACGCACGAAGAAGAAGAAGAAGATGAGACAGCAAGAGAGCAATAATCAGCACGACTAAAAACTACACGGGCGTTTCTAAGACAGCCTCGTAGAACTTGTACCCTGTTCATTGGTCTTGATTTTTAATAAAATCACGACCACTAAAAACAAGTAGAAGAGAATCGGTACCCGAAAAATTGAGGAGCTGACCCGCCAGCAACACCTGAGCTAGTTTCTGCAGGGAAACTCCGGCGCTGGTCTGTAATGTTAGATGATAATGCTATTCGGCTGCAGTTTTACCTTCGGCGAGCAAGGGCTTGGGGTTTCAGAAACTAAAAGACCCCCAACAATTTCCGAGTAAGGTTGGGCTGAATGAGGCCTTGTTATGATTTGATTTGGGCACGGCTCATCATTATTGTGCGCGGTAGGTTTTTTTGTTTTCAAATGTTTGTATGTTTTTAAATTTAAAAATATTTAAAAAAAATGATTTTTTTTATTTTTTCACTTTAAAATTATTTTTTTGGTTATTTTATATTTTTTCTGATGTATTAATTTTAAAAATAATTTTTTTAAAAAAATATATTATTTAAATACATTTAAAAATAAAAAAATTTTAAAAATAAAACAACTTAAAAAAAAATAATTACATCAATACTAAACAAACTCATAATATAAAAATACAAATAAAAATAAAAATTTAACCAAATTCTAGGATAAATTTTATAATTGTATTATTACCAATTTTGTAATAGGTCCTTTGATTTGAATAAACATAAAATCATGGAGGCGAATTTTATTGTTTAAGTTTGAATTAACTGTTGATTTACTTCCTTTTAAGTTTTATTGCTTTTAATTTTCTTCTTTTTAGGGTAGCACTGTGATTTATTTATTTATTTATTTTCTTGACTAATTTGGTTGGATTTAATATGGAGACTTGAAACAAAAATCAGCTATTTAACTAATTGAGAAAACAAAAATAAGTTATTGAATAAATTCTAAAAAGAAAGGATTGATTTACCAAATTAGAAACACAAGTAGAAAAGAATAATGGGGTAAAATCAGGGCTGATAAAATTCTCATGAGTAATTAAATCGTAAGTCATTCATTTAATTTAAAAAAGGGGTTAAGAAAACTAGCATCATTAAAGGGGATGTTTGTAAATTTAAGCTTTTTATTTGAAAATATATTAAAATTAAATTACAATTTGAAATTACATTTTAATTAAAAAAACATGATTATTATAACATTTTTAAAAAACATAGATTTTTAAGTAAAAATTATTTTGAAAACATGTGTGACGTGAAATGATATTTAAAAAAAAAAATTAATTGTTAATATGATGATATAAAAATAATATTTTTTTTAAAAAATTAATATATTTCAAGAACAGTGCTTATATTTGAATAAATTTTAAAAATACATTTAATTTAATAAATTTATTTTATATTTACCTTTTTTAATTTTTTAATGAATTTAGTATGTTTAATATCAAAATAAAATAAAATTTTATTTTAATATATTTTAAAATAAAAAATATTTTTTAAAATCACTACTCAATACAATTTCAAAGACCCCAATGTTACAAGATCTGCATGAATTGTGGCTACTTTTTTTTTCTTTCCTTTTTGGATATATTATATGAAAATTATTTAAAAATATCTAAAATTATATCAATTGAATACATAATTATTTATTTATTGGAAAAAAAAAACTAAAAAGCAAATTGAATAGGGGTTGAAATGCAACTCTATATAAACCCTAAACCCAATGCTAGCCGGTTCTCCCATAAATGTACTGAGATGCAACAAAATTTATAGCTATGCCAAACTATAGAATTAATCCGACATAAATTGAGATCAACTTGCTATTCAACATTTATTTTGAACTAGGAAATAAACAAAAATAAGACAAAAATTGACCTTATCATGATTGAAGCATCCCATGGCATCCCCAGGATGACAAAGCAAACCAGTGGCAGAGGAGAGAGGGGGAAATATAAAGGATAAACAAGAAAACAAACCGTCTGATTTTTTGTATTTAAACAGATAAAACTGTAGTACATCCCTAGCTTAATGTCCAAAACAAAAATCAGAGTCAATTGTTTATTTTAAATTCCAAACTTCGCACATCATCTCACACCTTGTGCTCATAAACCACAAAATCCCAAAAAAAGCGCTTCAACTCATCATCCATGCTTCAGCTTCAAGCTTGAGTCTTGGCCATGTGAGCTATCAAGTCAATCACGCGTGAACTGCAAAAATGGGAATCATCAATCAGCTGCGCATCCTTCAAACCTTTTGGAGAAGACAATTGCAAAGGTACCATGAATGCTAAAAATCGGGAAAGGGAGGGGGAAATGTACCTGTAGCCCCATTCATTGTCATACCAAGAGACAAGTTTGACGAAGTTATCGTTCAAAGCAATTCCAGCCTTGGCATCGAATATGCTTGACCTGCATAAAGCACAACCATTAGATTCAATACAAAGAAAGCATGTATTCAGGCCAGCACAATCCACATGGTCTACGAAGACAACATCACAGCCTTTTCCTTTACCTGCTGTCACCAATGAAGTCAGTAGACACCATATCCTCTTCAACGTAACCCAGAATACCCTTGAGGTTATTCTCAGACTCCTCCCTGGAGACCATCAAGGTAAACAAATAAAATCAGAATATAAATAAGCTAGAAGATTCTGACTAGAAGATCATTCTAACAAGCACTTACTTGATAGCAGATTTGATAGCCTCGTATGTTGCCTTCTTCTCAAGCCTGACAGTGAGGTCAACAACAGAGACATCCACAGTAGGAACACGGAAGGACATTCCAGTCAATTTTCCATTAAGTGCTGGCAAAACCTTTCCAACAGCCTATGAGATTTGACAAAGAACGAAGAAGAATAAGGTCCGGCCGTAGGTACATAAACATAGCAATGAACTATAAACAAACTATGATGACCCCCCCACCCCCACAAAAAAAAAAATGCATACCTTGGCAGCCCCAGTGCTGCTAGGAATGATATTGAAGGAAGCAGCCCTTCCACCTCTCCAGTCCTTCATTGATGGACCATCAACAGTTTTCTGAGTGGCTGAATAACATGGATACAGAGCATCAGAGGACTAACTTTCAAACCCAAATGCAAAGAAAAGCAACAAGATAAATCAGGATATAACATGAAGCTAAGCTCACCAGTAATCGCGTGAACTGTAGTCATAAGACCCTCTACAATTCCAAACCTGTCATGGATAACCTGTAAATCAAGGGGCAAAGATGATGATTGGTCAATAAATAATCCGCCCATGACCTCCATTTAGTTAAAAGAACTCGTCGAAATAGATAGATACCTTGGCCAAGGGGGCAAGACAGTTGGTAGTGCAGCTAGCATTGGAAACAATGTCAAGATCTGGAGTGTACTGCTTCTCATTTACACCCACAACAAACATAGGTGCATCTTTGCTTGGGGCGGATATAACAACCTTCTTGGCACCACCCTGAACCAACAAATTATTTATTTATTACGTAAAAATAAACACTATAATAAAAAATCAGATTATAATTCAATACATTCTCTATGGATTTTGTGTTAAATTAATGCAAAGAAAAGAAACCTTCAAGTGAGCAGCAGCCTTGTCCTTGTCTGTGAAAACTCCAGTGGACTCAACGACAAACTCAGCACCGGCTTGAGCCCATGGGATCTCCTCTGGGTTCCTACCAATAATCAGAAAGAAATTAGAATAAACATAAGAAAAAATCCCAGTAAAATAACAGCAAGATACACAAATTTTTCTATTAATATCTACGGTTTTTTTTTTACCTGATGCCAAAAACAGCGACAGCCCTCTCACCAAAGAGAAGGGTCTTCTCATCCTTAACCTTGAGCTCACTATGCTTCCAGCGACCGTGAACTGTATCATATTTGAACATATATGTCTGCAGACCCCCCCCAAAAAAAAAAAAATCATTAACAACCAGGGGCGGAGCAAGAAAAAAAATTTGAGGAGGGCCAAATTAAAAGAATCATTTTTAAAAAATTTGTTTTATTAAAATATATATTAAATGAGTGCCAAGGGAGGGGCTGGGAAAATTTTCCTTGCAGACCCCCCCTGCCTCCGCCACTGTTAACAACAATAGAAAAACGAAAACAGCAGCAAAAAAATAAATAAATAGTTACCATGTAGTCAGTAGTGATAAAAGGATCATTAACAGCAACAAGTTCCACGTCATCTCTTTGAAGAGCAACTCTAGCAACCAAACGACCGATCCTTCCAAATCCTATGAACATTTTATTTTATTTAACGTTAATAAATGAATGTTTTGTTCCTTTTACCGGAAATTAAAAAAAAAAAACATGTTTGAGATCGGGAAAATTACCGTTGATACCGATCTTAATCTTCTTATCGCATGCTGTTAATTAAACAAAAATAAGAAAAACGAAATCGGATCAGATGAAAATGAAAACTAAAACGACGTGAAAATCAAGAAAACAGTGTAACGAAGATACATTTTTATAATCATTACCCATTGTTGTTGATAGTACCGGGAAACAGAGGGGAGATTTTGAATTAAGAGGGGAGATTTGAGGGATAAGCTTAAACAGAGAAATTTAGTGAGGAGAGTGGCTGCTAATTGAGGGTCATATAAAGGAAGAGTAGGTGCGTGGTGAGGGAGTTAGGTCACATGAGCGGTTTTTTATTTCTTGGGCAAAACGAAAGAAACAATTAGCTTGGTTTTAAGCCGCTCATTGGAATTTTGAAAAGCCCTTGTATTAGCCGCTGATTTTAAAAAGGAAATGCAGGCGATTTTGTGGCATCTGGAGTCAGTCTTGGGTGGTTGTTTGTCCATGAGGGAGAGGCGTTAAGAGGAAGGTGTGGCGCACTTTCCTTAATGAGCATGGGAATATTCGGAGTTATGTCCGATGGGCTCACAGTTGTTGGGCCCAGCAACGGAAGGTTCTTGTCGTGGACATCAGCAGCCTGCTAGGTCAAGCCTGAATTTGCTGGTACACAAAGTTTCACGTTTTTCCGGTTGCTAGAAACTGGAAAGGGTAGATCTGAGAAATACCCACCTTTCGATTTTATTGTCAAATGTTTTTTTTTTCAATTTTACTTTTAAATTAAAAGAATATATTTAAGAAATTTTATGTGAATTTTTAGAAACTTATATTTTTTTTACCAAAATTATACCTTTTTTAAAAAGAAACAATATTATTTTAAAGAATAATAATAATTCTCGTTGGATAATTTTAATAGAAGTCATTCGTGAGGAATTAAAATAGTTTTAAGTTAAAATTAATATAAGAAATAATTTAATTATAAAAAATCAAATTAGAATTGGTGTTGTAGAATTTTTTTAATGTATAAAAAATATAATTATTACATTCAATCTAAAGATTAACTTAATAAGTCAGGTTCTGGGTTACATAAATAAATTCAAATTGGCTTGAATCAACTTGAAAAATTAAAAAAATAATACATGTGAATATAGACTATATATTATAAATAATAAAGTTTAAAAAATTATTTTAATTTTTTTATTTTACATTAAAAATATTATTTCAATATATTATTTTTTTAATTAAAATATTTAAATTAAAAAAATTTTCATCTAATAATAAAAAAATATGAACTTTTCACTTTAAACATAAAAATGTATCTATTAAATTATTTCAAATCATACAATACAGATAAATAATAAAAGATCTATCATGTGAAAGTTATCGGTGACTTGTACCAATTTAATGAAATAGTTTCTTGTCATATGTTTTTATTACTAATAAAATAATAAACTATAAAACAACTACGAAGTGATTAATATTATATGACTGTTAGCGACTGCTCCGATTAATCCACCTCTCTAGTCTTATCCAAGAGTAAGCCTAAAAATAAATTGGAAATGCAATGAAAATAAAACAATTCTTGGAAATGTTGGTTTTTTCATAGGAATAATTGCAATTAATAAAAGCGAAAATGTCTTAAAAGCATGAAACATCGAGGATATAACTATAAAGTATTTGAATTTCCGATTCATCCCTTTACGATGAATTAAAATAATTTTTTTAATCTATAGTTTTAGAAATAAATAACATGAAAGTTTTATTTGACAAGTAATCAGTTTTTCGAGAGCAAGTTGAAATTTATCTGAAGGATTTTCCATTAGCTCTGTTAACAGAGATATTAACGGAAGGAGTTAATTAAAATTCTTTTAAACATTTGCTAATAATTGATTGATTAAGAAATTGTTTAGTGGTCAAACCCATATATATGTATATAGATATATATATATATATATATATATATATATATATTTGACTGGGGTTATATTCAATTTTTGGGCCATGGCATGCTCACAAAGATTCTTGGCAACAGGTCAGTCAGCGTTCTGAACAGAAACCCAACGTAATG